ATTACACAATCCCAAAAGATGTCGGAGTATTGCAGTATCTTTATTAAAAAAGTGTTAAATCAAGAAAATACTAGTCTTATTTTTTTTCATTATGTTCTTTACAGCAATCTGTAACAAGAAAAATTCCACCTCTCCCATGGGTGTAATGATCAGGCACTGGTCAAGGAAAATTTTGATAGCAGAAAATTGCATGTCAAATTAGAGATAAATTAATGAGTTTAGTGTGAGGTGATAACTGGTAGATCATCTCTGATCAAGCAGGTGTTATCTACATCTCTTGGGAAATGGGCAAAAGGAATTGTTCTTGTTGGCTAGTCTTACTTTCAAGATAAATTTGATGTAATTAAAACTAATTTGATATTGTTTATAATAATTAAAACTTATATGTTATTGTATAATATAATTTAAACTAATTATTTATTGTACATTTTTTATTTGAATTTTTATATCTTTACAACAAATTGCAGACTGCCTTGTCTCACTAAGATGTCATTCGACCAATTGAATCTAAACTGTTTATGATAATTTAACAATATTTGATGGGCGTATAATGCTGTGGTGGGGCACTTTATTTTAATGAATGAAACTAAGGTGCAGCCTAATAAAACATCAACACTAATAATTACAGTGTTTTTTATTACATTGAAAAATAGTTTGCAACTATCTGTCATCTTTGTGAGACATGACACTCTGCAAATTGATTGTTGAAAAAAAAATATCATAATTAATTATACAAAATCAAATTGATTTTAATACCTTTATATCAAACTCATTTTAAGGATACACCAAAGGTTTCCAAATGCCAGAATTTAATTTGCATGTAATTCTTTCATTATCAAAGATAACATAATAAAAGTATATATCATTTGAAAGCTTGTTAATTTTACTATTTAATTATCCTAATTTAAACTTTAATTAATAACTTATTTAAAATTATTTAAATATTAATGTAAATTTTAGTGCATAAATATTTTATAAATCAACTTTTTTGTATTTAACCCCTCAAAGTGGTCATTTTGCCTCAATGTAGATTAAAGATTGAACTTCAAAACTGTGTCTCAGATTTTTGATAACTCTTCTAATTGAAAAGTTACAGCCATTTGCACTTCAATGTTACCAATTTATTAGCCTAATTTAACATTTCCCTCAATAATTCCAAAACTAATCTAGATATCAAAAATCTGAGATACGGTTTTGTGAACACACATTTGAGAAGCAAGCTATCCAATTTTCAGAGAAAATGGTCAATAAATAAGGGAGCTGAATCCTTTGAAATAATACCACACACTGTCTGATCTTACTTTACAGTAGAGGGCAAAAACCCATTACACAACAAAATCTGCCAAAGCTAGAAACATATGACGCCTTGGAGATTCAGCTTTGGATACCTGTCACTTAGCCATATTTCCTATGCATATTCACAAGAATGGGAGGTTCATTTCTGTATTTAGATGCTTTTAATTAAGTAAAATAGGTTCAATTCTGAATCAGAAAGATTTCCCGGCAAAATGGCAAGAGCTAAGCTCCGCCTCCTATTTTATGGTCATCAGTGATCTGTTAGATCTCCTTCTCTAAATCTAGAGTCCCTGCAGTTTAATTACTGATAACCTCTATGTGGCTAGTGAAGAATTCCCCAAGTGGTCAAAGTGATTTATTGCGTCTTCCATGAGCAGGCAGTCACAGATCAAATCAGAAGCTTCAATAACGGAACATTCACATGTGGTAGTGTTTATGTTTCATTATTGTTCAATAATTAGAAAACCATTTCATAATTACCAAGAATTTCAAATGCATTATAAAGCATTGATTAACTTCTTTTTCTTAGCAAAAAATCTCAAAATTGTTGAAAATCTTGAAAAAAGCCTTTGGTGTATCCTTAAAAATAAAAGGCTGGTTTTAGTAACTATGTATTTTGACAGACATAAATAACAATTAAGAGACTTAGACAACAGAGATCTTTATTTCTTTCTGCCCAATTCCCCGGAGATATAGATAAGACCTGCCTGATCAGAGATGCCCTAACAGCTTCCCACACTGAACTCATTAATTAATCTTTAACTGGATGCATGTCCACTCATTACTCCCAAGGGACAAATGGATTTACACTATCTGCTGTGTAATGTAAAAACTGTTTTTAATACTTTGTGGGGTTTTTTTTAGTTCTAATGAGTAGTTTTAAGCTGTAGTTCACATTTTTGTACAGATGTTCTAGATTCTATGTCTCAAACCTTAGACATGAACCCGAAATGACTAAGTCAATAAAAATTTAAAAAAAACACCTGTAAAATGCAGAAAAATTATCAAATAATGTTGAAAATACCAGGTGCACATCTTCATATGGTAAATAATAAGTGTACAAATTTTCATACAAATCTATGCAATAGTTTCTGGGAACAGATCCAGACAAAACCACATAATAAAAATGAAAAAACACCTGTAAAATGCAGAAAAATTATTCAATCATAATGAAAATACCAGGTGCACACCTTCATATGGCGAATAATAAGTGTACAAATTTTCAGACAAATCCTTCCAACAGTTTCCAAGAAATGGTCAGGACAAAATCTCGTCTACAGACAGACGGACAGACGGACAGACAGACGGACAGACAGACGGACATGATGATTCCAATATACCCCCCCTAAACTTCGTTTGCGGGGGGTATAATAAGACTGTACATAACACAGAGACTGCACAGCAGCTCAATAAAACATTAAAAAGCTGTGCATCAACAACCACATTTACATGCATATTAAAGATCTTAAAAATAAATTAAAAAATTCTAGGGAAAAAAAGAGTAGATGTACTGACTGGTACTTAGCACAGAAGTGTTTAATCTTTTATGAATATATAGAAAAGTATAATTGCAGCAAAAAACTTCTACACATATTACCACAGTGCAGGATTCAACACTAACTTTAAGAGTGCAGTAGACCACTAAAGTGAATGTTCTGTAGTGTGAGTCTTGGTTGAAATCTCAAAGTCTAAGGATTATAAGCCCCATAGGGCCTCTTGGGGGTTATCATGGCTATTCCCCAATTTAAAAAATAAGATTCCCTCAGAGAGTATTTCCTAATAATTTAATTTTGGTTTGTAACGCGCCATTTAATTGGATAAAAGAATAAGTTTATATCGTATAACCTGTGTTACATACGTCTCAATGACTTATCAATCCGCTTGATGTACATTTGAAATATGCACAATTTGAAGGCCCTTTTGAAGGAGAAGTTATCTTATTTTCAACACTTAATGAAGGAAAATTAAATTATAAGGAATGAATTTAATAACTGGTATGTCCTGGGTTTGAACAGTTAACAATTTTTTTTATAAACTGCTTCACAGTTTACAAAGTGTAAACTGCCCCAACCCAGGTTATACCAGTATAACTTGGGTAGCAATTAAGTTCGTTCCTTAAATACATCTTTTCTTTTTTAATGATATCTTAAGATATCCCTAGGTTTGAAAGAAAGCACTTAAATGTTGTCAGGATATAATTTCATAATAGCCTTATAGGTTCAAGCATTCTGTAAACCAGGTTTGGCAATAAATGGTTGAATCAACTTTATTATATGGAACTTGTCTTGAGATCTATCAGATTAATATTGTAGGGCTAATTTTTATCACTAGTCCGTCAGATTACTCACAGCTTATAATCACTTAGTCGGACCACATACTTGCAAGCCTCAGACTACAGCACAAACAGTAGTAGTAGTGAACTCTGCTGTGGAGAAAAAATTCAAAAAACTTTTCCAGGTATCGACTATAATGGAATCAGATCCTCTAAAAGAGACAGAATTATATGCTTAACAATAATCTGGAATGTCCAATATTAAGACTTATACAAGGTCAATATAAAAAATGTAAAATGATTGAGTAAAAAAAAGCAGAAACATATTTACAAATCACTGAATTTCTCTCAGAGATATAAGCTCGTACATTATTTAACAGTTTAAAAAATTTGTGAATTCAACAAATGTTACAATGAAAGTTTTCATCACATTACATGTAAATGTTTAACACTTGAGCTCTTCTTAATCTCGATCATGTTGCAAATGTTTTTACCAAACTGAATAGCACACACTGCATCAATACCACAGTTATACCTCATTTCAGACCCCTAAAATAACTCAATGTAAAACTATTATTCATTTATAGGAAATATAGGGGCCTAGTCAAGATTTCTTAGTATAAAGATTTTCATATAATATGTATAGAAACTCAGCAACTGATAATACAGGTATTATAAAAATAATCTCCATGCACACTAAAAGAACAAGTTTTGATATTTGTAAAGCAAATTGGAAAATTTTGATTTTTTAGGGGAAGGTGTTCTTTCTGATACTCAGAATTCTCTATTCCACAATTTGAATATAACTTGATTGATCATATAAATGCATCTTGAATGAGTTATATAAATGTACTTGATTTATATGTAAAAATTTTCAAACTTAAAAACCAATCAAATTCAAATGCTTATTAAATGATCACTACCAAACAATGTACAAAATCAAGACGACTGATATTACAAATATTACAATGTTTTAAACTGAATCTGTAAAAGTGAAATATTGTAATTATAACGATAAAAAAAGCATAAAACAGATTTCAATTATCAAGCTGCACTACACAGAAAAATTCAAGTTAAATTTTTTTTCAAAAATGTTCTTAAATGGCACTAAAATTTGTGTATCTTATTGATACAATGTATATCAAACATTTAACAATATCTTTAAAAACATCAATAAAAATATTGTCATTTGAAATATATGTATGTATTGTAAGGTAACATGTATAGGGTATAACAACTGTTCTATCTTATAAACTTTTCAACATATTTGGAATTTTTTGATGTGAAAGAATTACACTGATTAAACAATTTTACTGCAATCATATCTGGAATTTTCAAAATCTGGATTTCAGTAAGAAAGCTATAAATATTGCATGTACATAGTGCTTTAGTGCAAGTGACCTTCACAGGTATAACATGGTCATTTAAAGAGCATTGTTAGTTTTTCATCACACGTAAGTTCCTGGCAGTTTACTGAAGGGATCATCCTCTACTACTCGTCTAAGGTACGGCTGAGAGACTGAGGGCTGATGGGAAGGCTGAATGACCTCTGTAGAACTTGGAGAAGGTCCTGCAGAGTGATGTTGGGATATGGAGGTCCTAGGTGTCCTCAGTCTATGTCGAGCTGCCACACTTATTGGATTCAGAATCTCACGAATTTCACCAGTACCGTTGAGCAATACATTTTTACTCTGAAAGTGTGTAAAGAATAAGACAAATTTAGACTGGGACTGAATACTTGACAGACAAAATCCCCAACTTATTATTGTATGTGTAAGGGGTATGGCTATTTTTACAAAATCAAATGTTTAAAAAAAATAATTTAATGCATTTAAATTTAAGCAATACACAACAATTCATGAAATGACAATATCATAAATATAATGGGGGCCATGTAAATTTTACTAATATTGTTTCAGAATTCCACAAAAACATAAACAATGAGAAATGATCAAAAATCTTATCAGGTTTCAGATGAATAAATAAAACAAGCTAGTTTGAAGAATTTGTGTCCCCTGCCTAATGAAAAAAGAAGAGGGTGGAAGAAATGGGAAAAAAAAAATATGCAGATGGAGAAAGAAAAAAAAGTCAACCTTGACCATTCATCTTTTAGCCTTAAAGTCAATAGGGGTCCTCTTTAAGAGCCAGTCCACGAGAAAACCATGCAAAACTGTCCATATCGAAGGTTGTCATATCTTGATGAAATTTGGTGGTTAGTTAGACTTCATATCATGTAATTCAAAAAAAAGCAAAAAATTTTCCCATCATCCAACATGGCAGCCGTAGGAAGCGCCACCTTCTTTTTGCACATTTTAGTGCAAATGCACTTATAATAAATAATTCAAGCAAAATGGTAAAAACTACATTTGATTTATTTTACTTAAAATTAAATTTGTATTTCGTTTAAGGTATTTTAAAGTAACACATGACTATGTTCTTCTAAAACTGATATCTATCATAATCAAATATGCAACATATCGAAGGGTAGATAACTCTTAAAAATTGGCACAATGCCAAGTTTGAAAAATTGACAAAATTATTACATATTGAATGGCCAAAATCTTCCAAGACCAAGCTACAAAATTACAATTTTTGATCTTATTATCAAAATATAACTCTAAATATTATCTTTTCAAAATATTAAGCTTGGGATTTCATAATTTATTGAGATATAGAGATTTACAAAAGCCAATTTTCAAAAAAATTCTTTGAATTCCAATGGATTACAAAGTCTAATATAGAACTTTAAATTATAAATACTTGTTGTTAGATAAGAAAAAAATGTTACCATTTTCTTTATAACCATAATCAAAATTGAAAAAAAAAATATAAAATTGAAAAAAAAAAATATAATTTCAAAAATTAGCCTAATTTGAGGTTTGGCATTTTGCCAATTGTTTAGAAATGGAATGAATTCATGATAAATTGCTCTGGCTTACTTGTGAATTTTCAACGATCATATTGAATATTCATGTTTCTTTCATTTTTGTAAGATAGTTTCTCTATAATTAAAAAAAATGGAATTTACATTGTCTTTAAATTTAGGAGGACTCTATTACATCACGGTTCACCATACATATAAATTATGAGACTTGAACACATTTGAGCCTCTGATAAGTTGTTTGCATTCTGTCAATTTTAAATGCACACTCTTGTCAAAATAACAATTCTCAATTACAAAAATACTGACATGAAAATGATGAAATGCTATACAAAATACTCTATAAGGGAGTTTAGCAATTTTTTTTTGAAATCATAGAACTTAATTTTCATACATCCAGATACAATATGGTAGAATTCTGAGATATGAGGAACATAAGTAAAAATCAAAGAATTGTTTTTTTTTATTAAAATCAGTTTTTTCCCCCCTTACAATCTTACTAAAATGGATTTTGTAAAATGATATACTGTTAAATCATTTATATTTTGTAGTTTGAGGAAAAACATTTGGTTCTGGGGATTCGTTTTATGGCTGTGAGGTGTTTAGTTGTTGCATATTCCAAAATTTACATTTTTAATAAGGGACTCTTTATACCACAACAACAATGACCCCCCCCCCCCCCCACCTTTCCAGTTTTAGACTCCAAATCTTTTACTACGTTATTAAGTGTGTTAGCCAGTAATTTCAACATACCAATGTTTTCAACATTCACTTAAAAATTGTATTTGTATATATATTTTTGTAACAAATTTCTACATATATAGTCCAATTACACAAAGGTTTTCATTTCAATCACAGTGCAAGTACTAGCAATAATATTTCACTAAGTTTGCTCTTTGAACACCATAATATGGTACTTTCTTGATCATTTTAAAAAAACATATTCCATGTATAAGAAATACATGTCAGTGCATGCAGTTTTACATCATACGTGCATGTATATATTGATATGCTAGCATTTTTTGGTAAGAGTGCAACGATAAACCGTTTGACGGTATATCGCGATATATTTTTCCACGGTTCAATTCACGATATGCTAAACTGATATCACGGTTCGGTTCAATCGGTCCAGAATTTTCCGAATCGTCCATTTTGTTTCCTTATGTACAATTTCAAAATGGCTTCTGCGCAAAATATGAGGTCGAACGATAACGCACTCAAACTCATTTCCTGCATTTCTCAGACCTCATATTTAACAGAGTGAAGGGCTTTATCTCATTCCTAATGTAATTAAAAGTTATAGATGTTAAGAGAAGTGATAAACTCTTTAGATCTTAAAGTATTCTATGGTAACACACGATATTTCATCACACGTGTATTTCGATAACAATTCACTGTTTTCTTGACTAGAAACTTGTTGACTAGAACGTGTTAACACGAGAAAAATGTCAACTGTTTTCTTTTTTACGAAAATAAAAGGAATAAGAGAATGAATGTCTTTCTTTCTCATTCCAATTTAAAAGGTATATTATGAGGAAAATTTCCCTTATATAAATACATTTTGCAAGTCATATCTGAACTTTGAATCCAGGCTACTGTAGTTCAATGTAAATGTTTTCATTGGTTTAGAATATTGTCACAACTCAGAAGATTTACCTATCAATCCAAATCAAGTTAACAAAATTGATATTTTAATTATTATCAAAAATATAAACATTTGATATAACTATGTCAAGTTTTAAGAAATATGATGACAAACTTCTTAACCTTGTCATGTATCGTGATACGTATCGTATCGTGAACTGAATATCGTGATACGTATCGTATCGTGAGGTTGGTGTATCGTTGCACCCCTATTTTTTGGTAAACACAAATTCTAGATCTTTGACTTGCATTAATGATGGAAAGAATTATAACTATGTTTTAGTATGTGTACATTTTATTGTAAAAGTAAAATTAATTTGTTAGCAATATTTTGGTCGCCCGAGTGGCGCAGTGGTTAGAGCGTCTGCTCTAGAGTCGCTGAGTAAGGAGATGATCCTTACGTCATGGGTTTGAATCCCACTGTGGGACGTGGAGGCCGGTCCTTCGGATGAGACTGTATAAACCAAGGTCCGGTGTCGCAGTAGGTGCTGGCACGATAAAGATCCCTCACTGCTCAGTGGCCCTGAGTGCCGGATATAGGTCAAAATTTGTAGCCCTCCACTGGCAAGTGGTGGCGTCTCCATATGAGTGAAAAATTCTAGAGAGGGATGTTAAACAACAAACAAACAAAAAAAGCAATATTTTGACAATTTTAAGTCACAATATCTTTCATCCTGACAATCAGTACGTGTTTTCCATGCACTTTCATTTTTTTTCTCCAAATCCTCATCATATACCAAATTTGCATAAATTTTACAAAAGAACTCTCTTTAAGTTTGGATCTTAGATAATTTCACAAAATCTGAAAATCACCTCCTGATCTGAGAAGAATTAAAATTCAACCATTCAATTTTCTCTGTTTCAATCATTTCCTTTTCTGTCACATTCAACATATATGCTGTTTAAGACTTCTTTCACTTTAACACTAAGTCTCTTTTAATAAGAATTTTGATTATCTTAAGGACCTATCCTTCTGAGATACATGTATCTGTACTGCATAAACACACGCTGCACTACATTGTTACTGGTTATAGGCATACAAAATGTGTATATTTTATAAGTAATGAAAAGTTTTACCAAAATTATATTTATGATCCTATGTACCTACATACATATCGGGATGTATGTACAGCTAATAAATTTCTCAAAGTCAATCCACACATACCTTATTTTTTTTTTTATTTTGCTCATTGAAACTGGTATAACCGTCCTGATAAACAATTACCACTATAAATTGTTTATTATAACATCCATTTTCTTGGGGGAACAACCATTTCAATTTCATATGGGTGGGGTAAAACTACTGGGTAGATACACATGTATATAGAACCTGAATAATCTTTCCTCCACTGGGAAGAAGTTAATCTGACCTTGAATGGTGCCCCCCCCCCCCCCCCCCCCCCGCCAACTGTTTTCAAAAAATTCTCCGATCATCACCAAAATTAAACTCTGTCTGCAAGGGTATTATTGTTACTATTATGCTTATTCAGACAAAGAATCAAATAAATTACAAAGCATAATACAATTTTATTAATTATAATATATATAGGACCTCCCATGATTTGTAGTTGGATATGACTTTTATCCAACGAGTTGTGTGTTTTTTATCCCCGAGCCTTGGCGAGGGGATAAAAATTAACACACAACGAGTTGGATAAAAGTCATATCCAACTACAAATCATGGGAGATTCTTTTTATCCCATTTTTAATACTTCAGAACCAATGTTATACACTGTTTTATATAGGACTCCACTTTATTTTACTTCATCACTCTAACACAAAAACCATTGTGACGTCACAACTGTGGGTTATGAAAAAAATATCCAATGAGTCATTTCCACGGGATAAAGGGGTAAACATGGGATAATATAATATAATATAATATATATATATATATATATATATATATATATATATATATATATGCCATGACAAAATTCGACAGATCCCCCCCTTTGAATGAAATTATCACTCCTTTATCATTTTCATATATCTTACATTCATGCCCATTTTTAATTTTTATCAGTTTGTACTGCAATTTGCCAAAATGACATACGCTTTTGGCTACATTCATGTGTTGTTTGCACAAGCTGAATATTGTAAACGTGTAGCATGATACATGTTTTGTCCTTGCTTGTTTCAGGATGATCCTTCTATCCACATACATGCACGATGTTTGCTTGTCTCTCCAGTGAACAAAATGTCACCACGATGTTTTAAGGCATATAATAAAGGTTTTAACGAGTAGAGTTTATCACAATTTCCATTTCTACACACCGATATAACATAAAAGGCCTTAGCGCAGTGGCTATTTGCCTGTTCAAGCTGGATTTTTTTTTTACATTCAAAAATCTTAAAAATGAGTTTTTCGACTTTCATAGTGCATTGATGCTCCATAACAACTCCCTAGGTTCATATAAAATGATCATACATGACCTTCTTTATTCCATGTTGATATGCTTGTCATTTTTACCCAATAATACTAAAGAGTTCCAACAAGGGGAGATAACAATTTAACTCCAGGAAATTAGTTGCACGGGGCTAAAGTAAGCAATAGAAATTTATATGAAGTATCTAAATCAGTTATTCCTATTTTTAAAAAAAATATATTTGATTTAGAATCTCCTTTTTTCATTTAGATATTTAAGAAATAGTCCATTCATATGGTAATAGACTGTTATTTAAAATATGTGAAATTATAGTGAAGTATGGTATTTCAAAGTTAATTTTAAACATGTAGATATTATTTCCCAAGCTCAATATTTTAATATGTAGTAGACCTATGACCATTTTAAAGATTACACTTATTTCAATTTAATTTTTTACTTGGTCTTAAGAGAAAATTGCATCTAAAAAGTGGCTAAAAAATCATACTCATTGATTTAGGATCTAAAAATAGACCTTTAAAAATAAAACATTAATTTGAATTACGTTTTTCTTCATTAATTGTATAAATAAGACCATGATTTTGAAAAGAAAACAAAATTTGGAAATAAACCGATGGCAGAAGGTCACTTTTTGAATTAATCAGTTTGTATGGTTTTTCCGTATAATTTAGTGTGATTTTCGACAAATATGCAAATGAGCTGTTACTAAAAATAGATGCGAGGTTCGACAATTTTTTTGTAGATATTTTGACTTCAACTTATATGTAGAAAATTTTAAGCCACTAAAAAATCCTATGTTGCAACCTTCTATTTCACGATTTTTTTTAATTTTGCATGGTTTTCTCGCGGACTGGCTCTTAAGTTAGAGAAATTAAAGACCTTAAGTTTCATTGCAAAAGCTTACAGAGAACTTATCATCTGAAAACTATGTATGCAATAAATAAATTTTTGACCTTTAAAGTCATTGATTTTTGACCTCAAAATAAATAGGATTCTTTTTTATGTCATACTGACTAAAGACATAAAATTTAATTGCAAAACCTCAAAGACAACAAGAGTTATCACCAGGAAACCATTTTATGCAAGATTAATTTTTCACCTTGACCTTTTGACCTAAAAAATTAAAGGGGTCTTCTTTAAGTCATTGGGAGTAATAAAATTTCTTTTGAAAAAGCTCAAAGAGAACTTGAGTTATCATCTGGAAACCATTTTTGTGCTAAATATAATTTTCTGATCTTGACCTTTTGACCTCAAAATCAATAATGGTCTTTTTCAGACCATAGGAAGTTGTGATATTAAATTTCATTGAAAAAAAAAACTCTAAGAAAACTGAAGTTATCATCTGGAAACAGTTACTTGAAATGTATGAATTAATGACCTTGACCTTTGGACCTCAAAATCAATAGGTATCTTTTTTAGGCCATAAGGAGTTGTGATACATGTATTAAATTTTAGTACAAAAGCTAGAAGGCTTTTTGATACCACCAAGAAACAAAAGTGTTAGACACAGACAGAATGTATGAATTTATGACCTTGACCTTGGTCCTTTTGACCTCAAAATCAAGAGGTCTTCTTTGGGCTATAGGGAGTTGTGATATAAAATTTCATTGCATAAGCTCAAAGGCTTTTTAAAATATTGCCTGGAAACAAGTGTTACACACAGACAGAATGGCAGACAGACAGATAGAGAGACCTAAATTAATATCCCCCACTTTCAGTGAAAGTGGGGGACAAATAGATGATTGTAGTTTAATTATCAGTCTACATATTGCAATTTTTTTAAAGTGGGTTTTACATATGATAATTTCTTAAAAATGACGTATCAATATCGGTACCTTTTTGGTCATCCTTCCTCTGCGACGACGATCAGTCTCTTCTTCTTTTTTATCCTGGAAAAGAAAATGATAATAATTTTGGCAAAATAATATACATTTCCTGGTGAATATTTATATTTTATCAACAAAATATCTAATTCTCTCTTTCCTCCCCATCTCATCCCCCACAGACCATAGCTTGGAAATTAATGGAACTAAATAACCCAATTTATTAAAATCAAAAAAAGAACTTGAATATTTTTTTTCTTCTGTTTTTGCTCACAAGACCTTGATGTAAGATATACATATTGGATAAATCCCAGTGATTATGAATCATTTTCACTTAAGCTAGACAAATCTGTATAATTGTATTAGATACATGTGCATGTTCTTTAATGTGTAGACCAATTAACAATGCGATACATACTGTAAAAGCAGAAATATTTGTTGGGGATTTAAATTCATTTATTTCGTTGTCAACAATAAGCAACAAAATTTAATCTCACAAGAAATTTTTTTAAGACACTATACATTGAATAGGGTTACTTTTGAAACAACGAAATCTAATGCCCAGGAAACTCTTTTAGATGAGAAATCAACGAAATTTTTTTTCCCCATGAAAATTTGTGCTTTTACAGTAATCACATTTAAATATCACATAAATTAAATATATTCTAACAAGCTGTTTTCTTTTATTTCACATCATATTTCTCCAAGGTCACCTTTTATCAGCACTAGAACCATCAGGCTCATTGAAAGATGATATAAGGACAGGTAGAGATGATATGAGATAAACATAGTACATGAAAATAAAGAGCAACTTTGATCCTGATTTTATTTGCTTATACATGTAATATGAAAATGCAATGATGTCAGAAAATGATGATATGATGGTATAAAAAAGCATGTGATTATGCTAAATATCATACTGTAGGACAGGAGGCAAGTAAAATGGGTGATTTATAGTTCAAACAGTGCAGAAAATGATATTTTATAGATATGATTTACAATTGTAAAAAATATAGAACAATACTTACATATCTACCCACGAGGATTGCTGCCGGAATGTAAACAATGAGCGTGAATAATGTCACAAAGAACACAATGTTGTTTCTCATGAATTCATCTAAATAAGAAAATAAACATATAAATCATCAGCTAATCATCCCAGATATATTTCATACCAAGACCACTATCTGTCTGTACATACTATAATTATACATTCAGAAAAAAAAATACATTTGATGTATTTAAATTTCTATGTCCTTAAATGTTTGCTTTAAAATCATGGCTTCATAGACCAAATACTTTTATTGACAGAAATGTTAAATTCATTCCATTTCATAACTAAATCTGATGCATATATTCATTAGTCAATATCACCAACTTTGTTTTTCTTATAATCAGATGAAATATATTAATTTCTATTCTCATTTACATTTCTAATAGAAGAGGAGAATGTTGATTCATACTTGCTGCTTACCAAATGAGTTTCTTATCTGCTGCAAAACAACTTTCCAAAGCCTCTCTGCTGGTAGTGAAGATTTCACACAAGTACCCTGGAAAATATCTTGACAAATTCAATTTTCATTCAATAAGTTCTATTAAAAAATACAATTGCTTTATAGTAAAAAACATGATTAAAAAACCCAGAAATATGTCCATAGGCATACCACATGAATGTCCTGCCCAAGGTGCATTAGTATTGCAACATGAAAAAAAGTTTGTGAAACACTGATGCCCCAGTATGGCAACTTATAGCAAAGGTTAAACAGTTTCTCACATGCAAATCAAATATGTTGGTACCCAAAGTAAGGTCTTGTCCCGAGGAATATACCTGTGAAATATGAAAGCCCTAGCAGCAACCATTGAAAAGATATGGAAAAGGTTTAAGTTTTTCAAAAGTAAGTCAAACATCAAGGTCAAGGTTAAATGGTCAAAATTAATGGTGCCGAAGTACAGGCCTTCTCACAAGGAACGCCCATGTGAAATATAAAATCCCTAGCATCAACCATTCAAAAGATATGACCAAGGTTAAAGTTTTTCAAAAAGTAAGTCAAAATCCAATGTCAAGGTCAAAGTTGTTGGTATCCAAAGTAAGGTCTTGTTACAAGGATTACACATGTGAAGTATGAAAGCCCAAGCACCAACTGTTCAAAAGTTATGGCCAAGGTTACAGTTTTTCAAAAGTAGGTCAAACTCCAAGGTCAAGGTCAATGGGCAATGACTGTTGGTATCTAAAGGAAGGTCTTGTCACAAGGAATACACATGTGAAGAATGAAAGCCCTAGCACCAACCATTCAAAAGCTATGGCCAAGGTTAAAGTTTTCCAAAAGTAGGTCAAAATCCAAGGTCAAGGTCAAAGGGTCAATTTTGTTGGTATCCAAAGGAAGGTCTTGTCACATTGATTACACAAGTGAATTATGAGAGCCCTCACACCAACCATACAAAAGTTATGGCCAAGGTTAAAGTTTTTCAAAATTAGGTCAAACTCCTACGTCAGGGTCATAGGGTCAAATTTGTTGATATCCAAAGAAAGGTCTTGTAACCTGGATTACACATTTTAAGTATGAAAGCCCGAACACCAACTGTTCAAAAGTTATGGCCAAGGTTAAAGTTGGGTAAAATTTTGTACAACTGTGTCAAACTCCAAGGTCAAGGTCAAAAGGTCAAATATGATGGTATCCAAATAAAGGTCTTGTCACAAGGAATACACATGTAAAATATGAAAGCCACAGCTCCAGCCAATCAAAAGTTATGAGCAATATTAAAGTTTTTGCAGACAAACAGACATACAGATAGAAGGACGGACAGGGCAAAAACTATATACCCCAGGAATCTTTGATACGGGGGCATAAAAATGTATTTCCTTCTTTGCTCAGAGATAGTAAAATATGATAAAAGTAGGAACAATTTTCAAATATTTTTAATATACAAAACTGATACCCTTGGTTCAATTGTTGTCTTTTATTAATGGTATGTAGTAGGGATGGCAATTTGTAATTGGTTAACCGATTACTCTGTCAGAACGATGGTAATCGTTTGGCAAATCTGTAATCAGTTAGTTGGAAAAAAAAATTATATATGTGTTAACTTCCTTAGAAATCAATTTTCAACTAAAAAATCGCTGAATGTTGATAAGTTTCCCACATTTATTTCAGCCGACTTGGAGGTGATTAATTAATTAATTTAGGCTCTCCAAATTGAGGTTGTTGGGGGTAATTGGTTAGTTTGTAAGTGTTAATTGCTGTTTAAACACCATACCATTAAACTACATGTCCTGTATCTCTTTAATGATATTTATTTATTAAAATTACTTTCGAGTACTGTTTACTGATTACAATGTGTATCTTACCCGTCTATCTTCTGGAGTTGTCTGCCAAATTATATCTTTAAACAAACATTGCAAATTAAGTGTTAGTTAGGTCTCATTTTCTGTTTAAGGTGATAATGCAAAATGATCATGCGTAACATTTAGTCTGAAAAATCATCAGTCTTAAATAACTGATTGATATTTCTTGGTTTTCTTATTTTTTTTTTTCTATCGAAATTGAAATACATGTATAGCATATAAAGTGAAGTGATCAAGCATATACAAAATATTACTCAGCTTCTTCTTTTTTTTTTTAAAGTTTTCTTGCGTATATGAATGGAGTTTACTTGAAACAAGTGGCCCAAGAGCCTTAACGGTCACCTGAGTATAATACAATTTAGAGAATCCATAGAATATAAAATGAACTGAGAGGTGAAGCTTTGTTGCCCAAAAGCTAGAAAAATAGGGTGATCTGAGGATCAAGAAAATAATCAATCTAGTATTCATTAACAGTTTATAATCTGTTCTCCATTTATCACTCTTACCATATAGTATATTAACAAACTACCCGTGCTTCTGTACTAATTTAATTCCTTGTTGAGATGTCTTACATTGGCCTCTCTTGGTCTTTGATGAACATTTCATAAGACAAGTTATTTTTGTCTCATTTTTATTTATCGATTACTTACAAGTCTACCTGATCATTAAAACTATGAAAGTACTTTTTGTATTATACAATAAAAATTCTTGCATAATTCTCTTATTCTATTTACCTTTCAAGTACATTATTTACAGTTAATAGAACCCTGGCCAGTACCAGAACACTTGACTAAATGGTCCAGATGTTCAAAAATCTGGTAAAAATACCCTTCCTTATTAAAACTTTTACTCTTTTTGCCTCTGATATGCCCAGGTCTAGAGAAATTTTTTAAAGAAATAATGTATTTTTACTACAGATTCACTATATTATCAATAGAATCCCCCCCCCCCCCTCTTGAAAAAAACCCAGATCCTCTCACCCTGGGACCAGAAATTTGCTCATCATAAGTAATCACTTTGTTTATCTGCTTAACACTAAGGAGCAGACAGGATTATTTAATAGAATTAATGCATTTTCACTGTATTATCAAGAGCCCCATCCTTACACCAGCACATCTGACCCAGGGGTCATGAAATTCACTTCTCTGGAAGAAGTACTCTTGCTCATCATAACTATACACTTAGCTTCTTTGCTTTTTAAGCAGAAAAGAATATTTTCAAAGAAATTTTGCTTTTTTCACTTTATAATCAATAGAGCCCCCCCTCCCTCCCCCCCCCCCCCCCCACTTTTTCACAAGAACCCTTGACCCTGGAGCCATGAAATTCACAATTTTGGAAGAGGCATCCTTGCGTATCATAACAATGTACTTAGTTTGTTTAAATAATACCCAGGAGAAGAGAAGAAGATTTTTAAAGCATTAATGTGTTTTCACTATATGATAAATAGAGCCCCGCCCTAACATCAGAACCCTTGATCAAGGGGTCATGAAATTCACAATTTTGGAAGAGGCATCCTTGCTTATCATAACTATGTATTTAATTTGTTTCAATAATACCCAGTAGTAGAGAAGAAGATTTTAAAAGAAATAATGCACTTTCACTATATGATCTATATAGCCCATCCTAGCACCAGAACCCCTGACCATGGGGCCATGAATTTCACAATTTTGGTAGAGTCACCCTTGCTTATCATAACTATATATTCAATATGTTTCAATAATACCCAGGAGTAGAGAAGAAGATTTTCAAAGAAATAATGCACTTTCACTATATGATATATATAGCCCCGCCCTAGCACCAGAACCCCTGACCCTGGGGCCATGAATTTCACAATTTTGGTAGAGGGCTCAATGCCTATTACAATCATGCCAACAGTTTGACTGCTTGATGTCCAGGAGTTAAGAAGAAGATTTTTAAAGATTGCATTAATTTTGGTGGTTTTAGCCCCACCCCTCAGGCCCCAGGGGGGCAGGGACCATGAAATTCACAAATTTGTTCCCCTTCACACATAGATGCCATATGCTAAAATTGGCTGAAATTGGTTCAGCGGTTTCAGAGAAGAAGCTGAAAATGTTCAAACGTTAACGCACGTCGCAAGACGAACGAAAACAGATAGCAATAGGTCACCTGAGTGACTCAGGTAACCTAAAAAAGAAGTAAGAAAAATGTGTATTTGATACGATTAACCGGTTAATCGGTCGGACGTCTTGCGGTTAACCGATTAGCAATTTTGTATTCGGTTGCCATCCCTAGTATGTAGTGTTAAATCATCTTTCTATCATCTAGTCAGCTAAATTAAGTCTCATTGTTACCAGTTCATTCTCTCATATTTTAAAATTAGCAAACTTTTATAAAAAGTGAGGACAAGGTCTTGGAAAGATCAAAGTAAAAAAAAAAATTAGTGACAGTTGAATTGTATTTAAGTCAGTAAAAACTGTTTAATCTGACGTCTGTGCAATCCATTTCACTCTGAATTCTGACCTTCATTACTATTTTTCAATGTTTTTTTCCACTGTGCAATCCGACGCAAAATTTGTCTTCCAGTGCATGTTGGATTACACAGGTTTCACCGTATATGCATGAAGTTTGGTTAAAAAACTTCAGAAGTGATGTTCAAGGTCATGGGAAGGTCAAGATCAGAAAATTATCACAGAGTTAAAATGCTTTTATCAATATGTATAAAAAATATCTTGAAAAGTGAAGTAATATTTCACTATTACGTTTTCCCTTCATACCTGTTTACAAAAGCCATGAACACATATCTGTCCATCAGATAGAGCCCCTGCTCCTGGATATGGTGTACATTCTAAGTTTTCAGCCTTCTTACAGCACTGTTTACAAGAGTTTCCTGACTCATCGCTACAGACACATGGCAGCTGTCCATGTCTCTCACAGAAACCCACACAAACACCACCCTGACACACTCCACTGAAAATACAAGTAGATTTTTATTAGAATGGAACAATATACCGATATCTTTCTCTTGCCATTCATTACACTATCTCCAGAATATACATCAAACAAATTAGACAAAAGGAAAGTACACATATTTACTTACTTGTCAATACAAGACTGATTGCTTTTAGGAGGAGGTTGCGGACAGATAAAGTCAATTCCACTTTTATTCGTCAAGGAAACCAACTAAATATCTCTCAACTTAAAGCTATGTTCAATATATCAAAATATTTCAGTATATCATAAACTTGATGAAAAAAGTTATTTTTCAGATTACTGTTGAAGTATCTCACTGAAGTGGCAATCTTGCATATACTGTTAATCACTTGTTATTTGCGAGAACTTCATTTTTGCATAAAAATGTGAGACCCTATGCTCACAAAAATTATATTTTGTGTATTCTACTATTAAATTCTACTATTTAAGATTATACAGAGCAATGACCAAAATTTGTGAAAACTTTCTTTCATTTATAAATACCAAATAATCTTTTGAAAATCTAGTGATCTACAGTATTTTTAAGTGTTTTCTACAAAATGCTTCTTTTAGTTAGTTTATATCAACTTCTGTATTATAAATATTGGATTTAAGAAAAGCTTAACAGGCCAATTATGAGCAGAAGGTAATTGTGTGGTTTACTCATTAATACCTGGCAGCATCTGACTCTGCTAAATTTTTGACTACACAAGCATGATCACGTACTAGTCTGACTTGTTAGAATGTTCAGTCACTTTCACATAAAGGATACTTGCACCTACTTACTCCCAAACAGTCACTGTCATCATCTAGAGCAAGGTGACACTCCGTCTGGTTACTAGCTAACTTGCAGTTTCCTGTACAGCAGGCAAAATTCATAGGGCTACATGTACAAAATCAGAAAATGAGGCCCATGGGCCACATTGCTCACCTGAGCACATTGGCTAGGATAAAGCAGAAATCAATTTAGCAGTCAAAAGATTATATGTGATTGCAACTACCCCCCTCCACACACACATACACAGAGAAAAGGGGACGTGATTTGTTCACACTTCAATCTACACTAACTGAGGATGCTTCCATATTTCTTTGACTAATCAATTTTATTTTTCTATGTGTTTGACCTTCTATTCTGACCCCACCCTACCCCTGGGAACAAACTTGAATCTACATTATCTGAGTATGCTTCTGAATTACTGTAGATTCCTTATTTTTCGCGAGTACTAATTATCGCAAAATGGCTCTTCAACGTCAAATCGCGAGAACGATAATTCGTGAATGGACGATTGACAAAGGGATTTTACATTGATTTGAGCACCACAAAAAATAAAAGCGAGTAATTTTATTTCGCGAGTGGTGCTTCTCGCGTAATTACGCGATAATTATTTCCTCGCGTATATTTAGGAATCTACAGTAATATGACTAAACATGGATTTGCTATTCTTGGGAAGAAGATTTATAAAGATATTTCCTTAATATTTGAATGTAAACTTTGACTGCCCATTGTGGGCCCACCCTACCCTGGGAGGTCATGATTTGAAAATTTCAATCTACACTACTTGAGGATGCTTCCTTGTAAATATGATGATTCAATTAGCTTTGCTGTCCTTGAGAAGATTTTTTAAAGATTGTTCCTATATATTCCTACCTTTGCTCACCCATTGTGACTTGCCCTATACCTGGGGGTCATGATTTGTGCAAACTTAAATCTTCACTACGTCTGGAATCCTTCACATAATTTTCATCTTTTCTAGCCCAGTGGTTCTTCAGATTTTTGACACCACCCAATTTTTACTTCTACTTTCTAGTTTTACTTCCCTTGGAAGGTGTAACCCTTCGTTTGAATAACTTGAATCCCCTTTACCCAAGGATACTCTGAGCAAAGTTTGGTTGAAATTAGCTCTGTGGCTCTGCAGAAGATAAATTGTAAAAAAGTTAACAACAGCATCAATGATGATGAAACGACATCGACAGACAGATTTTGATCAGAAAAACTCACTTGAGCCTTCGGCTCAGGTGAGCTAAAAATAGATCAGGGTGACATCACTGCCCCCACTGACATGCAATTTTAAATATGTGAAAGTCCAGGAATATGAAATTAACAAAGGGTGGAAATGGCACAAAAATGAAATATCTCATTTTTGCTTTTGTTTTCTGGAATAAGTTGTCTATACCTTAGCTGCATGAAATGACTTGATCACTTACAAGCAAAGTAATCAATTAATTATAAAAAGAAATTATTAGGGCCATACTGTTTGTAAAAATGGGTCAATTAATTAACACAAATCTCATTCAACTTGGGTCAATTATCAAAACTCAAATTGATCTGCGTGTAAGTCAACAATATGGAGCTAGCAAAAATTAACACGCTATCTACAAGTATAGCAAAAAAAAAAAAAAAAAGGGGGGGAGAAAACAACACAATTATCTATTAGAAATGTTCAAAGTCTAAGTGCCATAACTTTTGTAAAAATAAAACAATTAACAAGATCGAAACACGAACTTGATCTGTAAGTCATCAATATCAGGTAACATTCCAAAAATTGACACCTCATTGTCTATAAGCATAGCAAAAAAGTTTGGAAAACTAAGACGGAATGACAGAATGATGGACAGAAAGAAATAACACTGGTCATTTCATGACAGTGGCATAAAAAAAACTAGATGAAAACATCAGAAAGCTGGAGGAAGATCGAGATACTGTGGTTTCATCATTATTCATGGAACAACGATTTTCATGGATTTCGTTGTTGAGTCGATCCACGAAATCAAATGTTTGTCGAAGTTTGGTGCCTCCATTTTGATTTATGATAAACCTTTAAAAAGTCTATTACGACTTTAGTTAATATATGTGAATCCCCCCTTTTCCCAAACAGGTTAAATTGGCTTAATAAACGTATGTATTTTATCATTTTTAATAATATTAAAAAAAGAAGAAGAAATACTGTTAGATAATTATCTGGCAACTTTTAGTACCAGTAAATATACGTTTAAATATTCTGCACGGAGAAAAACAAACAAAACGTAGAACTGTCAACGCGGTGATATACTAATCAGTGGAATAACTCAAACGATGATAGAATAAGTCAGATAATCAGGTGTTAATAATGTGTAAATTCGTTATTTTCAAACAATCTAACGGTCCAACACCAATTATCACCTACACAATGAAAACACAAATTATTGTAAAATAAAAATTCTTGTAGAAATAATTAATTACTCTCTGTTCATAAGTGGCTTAAATCATTCAACTTATAAACAAAATTAAATGCTAATTTGACCTTGAAACAATTTTTTTGTTAAGCATGAGAAAACGGGTATGTATGTTTGGAAGTCCTGCCATTTCAAAGCCCTTCAAGGCTTGTTTGTCCTCCATTGAGTCGTATCCAGCAAGCGTGGATATGTTTGTTTGGAGATCTACAAACAAGGGGGTCTGGATGTCACTGTCAAGTCCAGAAACATTCCGCTGTGCATGTGAAGAAATAGTCTCTAACACCATTTTGTAAATTAAAGTACTTCATAATTTTTGTTACTTTTTTAGTATCCTGTTTCCACACTTAATTATCGTCCGTGTGTGCACCTAAAAGATAAAATTCAAATTGTCTTAATATTTTAAGATACTTGCACACCTTTTAACCGAAACTTTGATTAAAATAAAGTCTTTTTTAATTAATTGTTTTAATAATCTGTTTCAATATCCAATATTTAATTTGCCAATTGGGATCATAGTCTTACAATGGAGACAGTATTTGGAATTCCATAGTACCCTTTATTGTTGTACCATGTATACTGCGTTGTAAACGCTTGAAGGTTCCGACTTTTAAAAATACAGATGAGTAAAGTATAAAGAATAAATTAAAGAGTTTTCACCTGTAATTGTTTTAAAATATTAACATACTCTTCACATTGTAAATGGTGAGAAGATTCCCGCTGAAGCATACGGAGGGTAAAAAAAATGAAAAGGTGACATTTTTTTTGTATGATCATCATTCACAAATATATGTATCCTCGAAACAGTGATTTTTACTAAATCCACGAAAATTGATGCCCACGAATATTGATGAAACCACAGTACTGTAAACTAACTTTTATTTTGTGACAACTTTACTCATGATTTTCAGTTTGAAATCTACACATGACGACTGAAGAAATATTCTACATAAATATAAAATGAAATATTTTGTGGTGAGAAATGTTCATGAGAAATAAGGATTCAAAACTTGCTAATATTTCTCATATTGAATAAAAGTTGGTTTACAGTATATATAGAATGTGTTTTCAGGTTTTCAGCATCTAATGACAGTTTCCGTTACATAGTTCACATATTACACAATAAACTGATAAAAATAGGAAAAGTAGATGAATTCCGATTTAAATCTTGCATATTCAAGTGTGTCAGATTTTACAATCTCTGCAAAACAAAGATGTGGCCCTGACAAGAATTTTGATCCTTTAGTGACCTTGACTATATATCCTTTGCTCAGGTTCATGCCACACCCTCAAATCATTAGTAAACTTTGTGGCAAGTATAAGATGAACTTCTTTTGTTTACATATTGTTTACATACAAGATGAATAGACATGACAATTTCTATTTGTTTGAAGGGTGTATAATAAATAGAGGGACTTTAGGAATCAATCCTTTGTAAATCAATAGCAGGTTCATTGTCCCTCTGTTCACTCATATATAAAATTTTCTCAAAAACTGATAATTTTTTCAAAAGAAATCTAATTTATTATTAAAAGCTTACAATTTTAGCACATGTAGTAATGGCTTTCAACCATTTCACATGTATACAGTATCCCAGTAAGACTTGTCTATCAGAGCATCCATGAGCCTTAAGGCCCTTTCACAATTGGCACACGAGCAGAAGTGACAAAATATTCGTGTGATTGAAAAATTTTGATTTGGATCATAAACTGTTGCCAAAACAATCGCATATGAAAAAGCATTCGTATAGAATTCGAACAATCTAAAGTGACCGTTGTGTGATGCAAACGCATTAAATCTAGCAATATATCTTGCAACTATATGCGACTGTTGTACAATGAAAGCCAGTGCTGAAAGATAACACAATAGGATCACGTGAGAGATCTGGTGTTCAGACGATTAAACGTGCGCCAATGCGATTGGATGTGCAGCGCTCGTGCGATCATGCGTTCCATGGTACGAATGCTCGTGCAAATGCATTTAGGCAACACCCATCAGCCACGCAATTCTAAATTTAGAGGACCCAACACAGTGCTGCGATTTTTCTTATATCTTAATATTGATATCGTTTTGAATAAGTAATTAATTATTGACTGTTTTATTATAACAGAAAGTGTTTGGATGGTTTGATATTGTATTGGTGTATATCAATAAGACAAATGGTGTATATATATAATATTTGCATGGCAGATTGAAGGTGATATATCGTGCAACGATAGTAAAACGCTGTAAGATTACATGAGACATGCTGAGCAACACTCTCATTGGTGGCAATACACACGCATAGACAGCTGCGATTCACCTTACGACCTTTAAAAATCGTGCATAACTCTTGCTTGTACACAAAATGTTGTACTAAGACGTTCGTACTAATGTTTGTGCGTTGCATTGCGATAATTTGGATCGCATTCTGAATATTGTACATGTCCAATATTGTGCATGTCCTATTTTTTTGAAGAGACTTGATGCAACCATTAAAACGCATGCAACGAAGGCGAGACATCGTACAATGTATGTGAGTGCTCGCGCGAAGATAAAACATTCTGATTGCAAAGTGTTGTAAAATGCTCATGGGCAAATTGTGAAAGGGCCTTTAAGTAATGAGACTTACAATAGGACTGCTCAGGTGTTATAAATGTTGGTGTTAATTAGCACTAATTAATTCTGTAAATTAAGGAACTCCCCCACTAGACTCTCCTACATCCTTATTAAGCTATTAGACAGGCAATGTGCAAGTATTAGTTTAAAAACAAACAGTGGTGATAAATAACATATTAATTATGATAATAAATTTATGAAATTTTCTGCCTACACTTCCACAGGAAATTAAACACTTTCTAAAATATATAAGATTTTGATTATTTTAACCCCAGGAGTAGCAAAAAAATGGCAGAAGACTTATAGTTGATTACAAAGTACATAGAATTTGATAAAAAAGAAATTTACAACAGAATGAGAGGATTCTTAAGTTACCCCTAGGGGTCATAACTATATATAAGTGATGAACCTTTCAATTAAACTGCCAATTGTTATCAAAAATTAATCATGATTACAAGACTTTTTTCAGAGTAATCGATAAAAATTATGATTACTTGTAATCAGAAAAATGGATGATTACTGATTACTCATGATTACATCACAAACTGTAATCGATTACAGCTGATTACAATTACTGATTACAATTACCCCATCCATGGTCATTACTCCTTATGCATGTAGCTCAGGCGAAAATATCAAATAGTAGCAAAACTGGTTAGCAAGGCTCTAGGTTACCTGCAGACTGCATCCCCAGCCAATTGACAGGTGCTGTCACAACATCCATCAGGATGACTGCCAGGGTCACACGCTTCCCCGATATCTATTCTACCATTCCCACACAATCCAACACCTTCTCTTGGTTCTAAGATCAAACAGCAGAAAGTTATTTTGTATAAATGTTACCCTGATTTATCTAACAATAGACACTAGATTAGAAAATGCATTCATTTGATACATGAATTATACTGTAACCAATAAATTAATATTCATTTGTTTTTTGCTAGCTCATGCTCATTTCATGTTAATTAGAAGAAAAACACCCCCTCAAAATTGAGGTTCATGGGCCACGATGCTAATAGTCATCTAATATATCCTTGAGAAAAAAAATCATTACCAGCTCAAGTTTAGTTGTTAGCTGGTAATCTTACTGAGACGTCCCGCATAGTACTGAGTAATGTAATTGCGTAACTTGTAACACTAAAAGATGGGCGCTAGTAGTTTTTAGTCATTTTTTTCGTTTTGACCACATGGATCTTTCCGCCAATTTGCACAAAGCTTCTAAAATGTCCTGTGATGATTTCTTTCAAAATTCATTAATAAATTTCTAATACTGGCCTATTCCGACTGTTCGTAAAAATAATAGCATTCCGTAATATGCCGTGATTTTGACAAGTAAAAAAGGAGAGATGAAATGTTTGGTGAAGAACTTTTCCCATATAACAAGTTCTTTTGGCAAAACTAAAGGGAGAAATAAAATGTGCAAATAAAGAAGTAGATACATGTTTCTTTAAAAAGATATAAGCAAGTATTTGAAGAGATGGTAGAGTGATTTTGATGTCTAGTCGGTTTTGTTATTATGACACAAATAAGCGTATTATGATATTTTACGAGACGTATATCAGAGATTGAGCTCTTTTCTGTTTTAATTGGAATACTTGTTATCAATAAAAATCTTATTTTTGAAATGTGCAAATAAATAAAATTTTATATTAAAAGAATAGAAAGAAGTCAAACCTTTTTAAAGAAAACAGAGCAAGTATTGGATGTCTAGTCTAATTTGTTCCGCATTCAATTTTTAACGTTTACGTGCTTAGACAATGTAACGTCAAATATAGTTTTACTTGCAAACTTGCCATTTTTGAGGGAAATACAAATCTGTCATCAGCAGAATAAAATATCAATTAGTGAAAAAAGAAGAAAAAAAAAGAGAATGAAAGACGACAATCCAAAAAAAAATTCTCGTAAGAAAAAAGGCAACATTTCTGATTGGGATGTTTCAGTACTTTCACTTGAACGTAAACTTTAAGCGTTTTAATGACGCTATTTTGATGTTACAAAATGGGCCCCAATTCTGTGCGTGACGTCTGTACTTTATTTTTATTTATTCTTGAGAATATTTTTACATAAAAATTCTTTTCTAAATCTTTAGACTTGTATCCCCTTCTTTTTAATTGTGACAAAGCCTTGGTCCCTGTCATATTAAGAAGAGTCCCCCCAAGTCTCAATAATGTAATGGTGGAAATTTGCCTCTATATGGCAAATTACACCAACTATTTGAGAAGTAATTGTTTCTGCAAATATCAGTCAAACTCATTCCTTTTACGTATAAACAGTATATATATAGTTTAATCATCATTAGCACTACTTTTGCCCGTATCACAGAAATTATACCAAAACTAATGGTTTCTGCTGCTGTTTTGTAAAAAAACCTTGTTCAGCTATCTCACCTTTCTACAGTACATAAATCTATATGGATCATCTTAAAAATATGTTTCATTTTGTTGCATAGCAGGGTGCATAACAAACTTTTTATGAAGGATACTGGCTTTTATATTTTACATCATTTTATCTGTATCTTTAACTTCCATCCTGGCCAAGTGGGGCCACGATAAGGAAGAACTATAATTTATGTACTCCACTCTGTGACACATGTATCAAACTGACTTGAAGATGTTTCATCCAGAATTTACCTGTTAAACACTTGTCTCCCTTTGCTGATAAAACTTTGTACACAGATCTGGTACTACACGGGGAAAATTTCTACAAAGATAAAAAAGCAAAGTACAGTGTCATCTTAAAAAATGTCCAAAAAATGTTTAACCTAATTCTTTGAGGAATGTGGCTTGTTAATGGTAAAAGATTCCCAGGTAATATTAGATATCAGTGACAGGTAAATTTGATAAACAGCTTGATTATATTATCATAGATGAAAAAACCTATTTATGAGAATATGTTTGGCAATGTATGAACATTTCTAATTGTATGGAAATGATCCGTACTGAAGGTGATGGTAAACCATTTCGAATTCTTTACCTTAGAGAGTTTAGGTGTTTGTGATTTGTGACTATAATGCATGGGAGCTAGTTTTTATATCTGATTTTTGTCCCCCGCTTTTGCGAAAGTGAGGGGACATTAAATCTCATTCGTCTGTCTGTCACAAAAGCTTTAACCTTGGTCATAACTTTTGAATGAGAAGAGACAGGGCTTTCATATTTGACAAGTGCATTACCTGTGACAAGATATATTTCCGAGCATGCTATGATTTTTGATACCTTGACCATGACCTTCACGTTTGACCTAATTTTCCAAAATTTTAACTTAAGTGATTACTTTTGAATGACATATTGATAGGGTGTTCATATTTGACACAATGTGCCATAAATTATGGCATCCCATCCACTAAGACACTGAAAGCGGGGGACCACAATTCTTTGACAGACTGACAGATGGACAAACAAATGAGATTTAATTTCGCAAAAGTGGGGGACAATAAATGTGCATTCCAAGTGTTCTACTTTTCATAATTTTTTAATATATTTAATTTTTGCATCTCAGATCTGTTTTGAAATGAGAAACTCTTTCTCACAAATCAGACAATGTGACTGAATGTGAAAGGATAAAAATCATCAAGTCATATATAACATTTAATAAGCTCTGAAAAAAAAAACACACAAACAAAACAGCACAAGTACATGTAAATAAAGAAAATCAAATATATACATTTGTGGTATCTCTCTATTATATAAACATACAGAGAGCAAATATCTTCATACCTGTATGAAGTTTTTCACAGAATTGTATTCATATTGTTATTAACCTGTGTACAAGGTTTTGTTTTAAATCAGATAAAATTGTGGGAGCTGGAAGCTGGGAGTTTGAATGTCCATCACTGTATCAAATTTTATTCAAATCGGACAAAAAATTTACACTGAAAGGAGAAGTTCATTCTATTTTTAATAATATTCTAGGAGTTTGATATAATTTTAGTAACAACACTATAATCATTCATCTAAATTGAAATCTGATGCACAGAAATATGTACTGTTATTATTGTATTCATCCTTTTTATTCAAATTAAAATAGATGGAGGAGAAGAATTTGGAAAATATTGTTAAAGGTGCTTGGACACAGATTTGAAGTTAATATTTTCTCAAATTTTCTGTATAATTTCATGACTTATATGTTGCTGTAGCATTTCATACTAAAATACAATAAAAATCTTATTTCATCTCGAAGTTATTAAAACTTCGAATTTCTGGACGCGTTGGATTGACACATCCTTGTGCTTTCACATATTTTAATTTTATTCTTAATACTGAAGAAAAGTGGCAATTTTGTTGTGTATTAATGAAAAATATTAAAACTATAACCCAGTAAATTCAGAGTAGAAATGTTCGAAAGCGAAACCCACTCACAGTATTGTAAATCCGTGCTCAGTGGTGTGTGCAGAGTTTAAGAATTGAACACACCCGGTGAATCGTAAACATTAACAATAACAGAGCTCGTGCCCTGTTTACAAAAACAGTTTACATTTCACGGGTGTGTTCAATTTGTTAAGCTCTATACACATCACAGAGCACGTACTGACAATACTGGTGATTTGGTTTTGCTTTCGAACATTTCTACTCTGAATTTTCTGGATTTTAGATGTAATATTTTTTCATTATTACACAACAAAATCGCTTCTTTTCTTAAATATTAAGGATAATGTTAAAATTTGTGTAAGTGCAAAGATGTGTTAATCAAACTCGTCCCAAAATTCGTAGTACCAATAATTTCCAGATAAAATAAGTTTTTAATTATATTTTCATGTGAAATGCTATTGCAATATATAAGTCGTGATATCATACAGAAAATTTGAGAAAATATTAAGTTCAAATCTGTGTCTAAGCACCTTTAACAGACGATACAAACAGAATGTAGAGAAAATTATACCATAGACATACTAACTTTTTCAAGTCTAAGATTATTGAGCTGAAAACTTATCTAATTAAAAATGATAATTTTCAGCATTTTCTTAATTATTCAAGTTGTAGGTAAATATTTATTGCAATATTTATAGAAAATAATTTTTCAGTTCTAAAATGTGTTGGTCTACCATGTATAGTATATGATTTAAAGGATGTGTACTTATAATAAAGATGTATCTAAGTATCAGAAATTTCTATTTGTAACCATGGCAAAACCATTTGTCAAAATAAGCAAGAGGCCCAAGGGCCTTAATGGTCACCTGAGTATAATACAATTTAGAGGATCCATAGAGTATAAAATGAACTGAAAGGTGAAGCTTTGTTGCCCAAAAGCAAGAAACATAGGTAATCAAAGATTACTAAGCTCACCTCGACGAATGTTATCTATAAGTAAGGTAAATCTCACATCATATTTTTTTCCTAGTTAGTGTACATTCCAAGATTAATATCCATCAATATTAGATTCAGAATCCAAAGTAAGTTTGGAACTGTCCATCTCTAGATACATCATCATTCATGCTAATTTGGTTAAAATATGGCTAAAATTCACTCATGTGGAAAATCTAGGTCAGATCCAGAATCCAAAGCAGGTTAGTTAGTGTACATCCCTAGATGCATCATCCATGCAAGTTTGGTCCAGGTAGGGCTTATATTTACTTGGGAATGGACCTGCTCCAAAAAAACTTTAACCTGATCAATCATCTGGAAAATCTAGGTCAGATCCAGCATCTGAAGCAAATATGGTAGTGTCTATCCCTAGATGTATCATCCATGCAAATTTGGTCCAGGTAGGGCTTTTAGTTACTTGGGAATGGACCTGTTCCAAAAACTTTAACCTGGTCACTCATCTGGAAAATCTAGGTCAGATCCAGCATCCCAAGCAAGTGTGGTAGCGTCCATCCCTAGATGCATTATCCACGAAAGTTTGGTCAAGGTAAGGCTTAAATAATCACTTGGGAATAGACCTGCTCCCAAACCTTTAATCTAGTCACTCATCTGGAAAATGTAGGTCAGATCCAGCATCTGAAGCAAGTATGGTAGAGTCCTTCCTTTGATGCATCATCCATGCAGGTTTGGTCCAGGTAGGGCTTATAATTGGGTACCTGCTCCAAAAACTTTAACCTAGTCACTCATCTGGAAAATCTAGGTCAGATCCAGCATCTGAAGCAAGTGTGGTAGTGTCCATCCCCAGATGCATCATCCATGCAAGTTTGGTCCAGGTAGGGCTAATAGTTTCTTGGGAATGGACCTGCTCCAAAAACTTTAACCTAGTGACCCATCCGGAAAATCTAGGTCAGATCCAGCATCCAAAGCAAGTGTGGTAGTGTCCATCCCTATATGCATCCTCCATGCAAGTTTGATTCAGGTAGGGCTTATAATTACTTGGGAATGGACCTGTTCCAAAAACTTTAACCTGGTCACTCATCTGGAAAATCTAGGTCAGATCCAGCATCCGAAGCAAGTGTGGTAGTGTTCATCCCTAGATGCATCATCCATGCAAGATTGGTCAAGGTAGGGCTAATAGTTACTTGGGAATGGACCTGCTCCAAAAACGTTAACCTAGTGGCCCATCTGGAAAATCTAGGTCATATCCAGCATCCAAAGCAAGTGTGGTAGTGTCCATTCCTAAATGCATCCTCCATGCAAGTTTGATCCAGGTAGGGCTTATAGTTACTTGGGAATGGACCTGCTCCAAAAACTTTAACCTGGTCACTCATCTGGAAAATCTAGGTCAGATCCAGCATCCGAAGCAAGTGTGGTAGTGTCCATCCCTAGATGCATCATCCATGCAAGTTTGGTCCAGGTAAGGCTTATAGTTACTTGGGAATGGACCTGCTCCAAAAACTTTAACCTGGTCACTCATCTGGAAAATCTAGGTCATATCCAGTATCCGAAGCAAGTGTGGTAGTGTCCATCCCTAGATGCATCATCCATGCAAGTTTGGTCCAGGTAGGGCTTATAGTTACTTGGGAATTGACCTGCTCCAAAAACTTTAACCTGGTCACTCATCTGGAAAATCTAGGTCAGATCCAGCATCCGAAGCAAGTGTTGTAGTGTCCATCCCTAGATGCATCAACCATGCAAGTTTGGTCCAGGTAGGGCTTATAATTCCTTGGGAATGGACCTGCTCCAAAAACTTTAACCTGGTCAATCATCTGGAAAATCTAGGTCAGATCCAGCATCCGAAGCAAGTGTGGTAGTGTCCATCCCTAGATGCATCATCCATGCAAGTTTGGTCCAGGTAAGGCTTATAGTTACTTGGGAATGGACCTGCTCCAAAAACTTTAACCTGGTCACTCATCTGGAAAATCTAGGTCAGATCCAGCATCCGAAGCAAGTGTGGAAGTGTCCATCCCTAGATGCATCATCCATGCAAGTTTGGTCCAGGTAGGGCTTATAGTTACTTGGGAATTGACCTGCTCCAAAAACTTTAACCTGGTCACTCATCTGGAAAATCTAGGTCAGATCCAGCATCCGAAGCAAGTGTTGTAGTGTCCATCCCTAGATGCATCATCCATGCAAGTTTGGTCCAGGTAGGGCTTATAATTCCTTGGGAATGGACCTGCTCCAAAAACTTTAACCTGGTCAATCATCTGGAAAATCTAGGTCATATCCAGCATCCGAAGCGAGTGTGGTAGTGTCCATCCCTAGATGCATCATCCATGCAAGTTTGGTCAAGGTAGGGCTTATAGTTACTTGGGAATGGGACTTGCTCCTAAAACTTTAACCGGGACGCCGACGCTAACGCCGACGCCGACGCCAACGCCGGGGGTATAGCATAAGCTCATCTCGACTTCGTCGAGGTGAGCTAAAAATAGGATGATCAGGATCAACAAAAGAATTAGTCTAGCATTCAGTAACAGTTCATAAATTTGGTTCTAATCTGATCCACATTTATCACCATCACCATACAGTATATTAACAAACTATCAGTGCTTCTATACTATTTTAAATGCTTGTTGAAAACTCTTACATTGGCCTCTCTTGGTCTTTGATGAACATTTAATAAGACAAGTTATTTTTGTCTCATTTTTATTTATCTATTACTTAAAAGTCTAACTGATCATTAAAACTATGAAAGTACTTTTTTTATTATACAATAAAAATTCTTGCATAATTCTCTTATTCTATTAACCAGTTTCAAGTACATAATTTAAAGTGATTAATTATCAAAAGCAAATGGCAAAGAGGAATAACTCCTCTCAGAAGAATACAAATTAATAGAGCCCTTGCCAGTACCAGAACACTTGACCAAATGGTCCAGATGTTCAAAAATCTGGAAAAAATACCTTTCCTTATTAAAACATTTACTCTTTTTGCCTCGGATATGCCCAGGTGCAGAGAAGATTTTTAAAGAAATAATGCATTTTTGCTACAGATTCACTATATTATCAATAAAGCCCCCCTCCCCACTGAGAAACACCAGAGCCTCTGACCCTGGGACTAGATGTTTGCTCATTATAAGTAATCACTTTGTTTATCTGCTTAACACTAAGGAGCAGACAGGATTATTAAATAGAATTAATGCATTTTCACTATATTATCAAGAGCCCCACCCTTATGCCAGCACATCTGACCCAGGGCTCATGCAATTCACTACTCTGGAAGAAGCACTCTTGCTCATCATAACTATACACATAGCTTCTTTGCTTTTTAACCAGAATCAGAAAGGAATATTTTCAAAGAAATTTTGCTTTTTCACTCTATAATCAATAGAGCTCCCCCCCCCCCCCTTTCACCAGAGCCCTTGACCCTGAGGCCATGAAATTCACAATTTTGGAATAAGCATCCTTGCATATCATAACAATGTACTTAGTTTGTTTAAATAATACCCAGGGGCAGAGAAGAAGATTTTCAAAGAAATAAATCACCTTCACTATAGGATCTATATAGTCCCGCACTAGCACCAGAACCCCTGTCCCTGGGGTCATGAAATTCACAATTTTGGAAGAGGCATCCTTGCTTATCATAACGATGTACTTAGTTTGTTTAAATAATACCCAGGAGCAGAGAAGAAGATTTTCAAAGAAATAATGCATTTTCACAATATAATCAATAGAGCCCCGCCCTAACACCCGAACCCCTGACCCTGGGGCCATGAAATTCACAATTTGGGAAGAGGCACTCTTGCTCTTCATAACTAAGTACTTAGTTAGTTTATTTGATTCCCAGGAGCAGAGAAGAAGATTTTCAAAGAAATAATGCACTTTCACTATATGATCTATATAGCCCCACCCTAGCACCAGAACCCCTGACCCTGGGGCCATGAATTTCACAATTTTGGTAGAAGGCTCAATGCTTATTACAATCATGCCAACAGTTTGACTGCTTGATGTCCAGGAGTAGAGAAGAAGATTTTTAAAGATTGCATTAATTTTGGTGGTTTTACCCCACCCCTCAGGGGGGCAGGGACCATGAAATTCACAATTTTTGTTCCCCTCACCCATAGATGCTATATGCCAAATTTGGTTGAAATTCGTTGAGCGGTTTCAGAAAAGAAGCTGAAAATGTTCAAATGTTAACGCACGACACACGTCGACGGACAAAAACGGATAGCAATAGGTCGCCTGAGTGACTCAGATACAGTCTACCTGTGTACCAAATCTCATTTAAATTGGACCTGTAGGAGGTTAAGTGTTTTGAAAGAATTTCTAAGAAATTTTTATTTTTACCAACAGTGTTAAAATACAAAAATGGATAAATAGAATTATGTGTCTTAGTATAGTCTGCTCCAAAAGTGTAGGAGGAGTAGCATTCTGAAAAATTGTTTACAGACAGACAAAAGGTGGACACCTTAGTAATGCATAAGCTCTTTCTGCTTTCTGACCAGTAAAACTCAAAACAAAGATTCAAAAAGTTAAATAATTTTTATATTATTTATCATTTTAAACAAAAGTAGATAAATCAAGGTGAAAAAAATACAAGTGCATTTCACATACATTTGTAAGCATAACATGCTATTAGAATAAAGTCTGGCAGAACAAAATTTAAGCCCTTTGCCATGCAGCAAAGACATGTTACTTTGTAAAATAATTTTGACAAATTTTTTTACTCAGATTAGCAAAAAACATCATAATAGATAACATTTCTTCTGCTTAATTTACTTTGTCTTTTATTGCAGCTGTTAATTTGTCCTATTCCTTTGGTATTGTATTGCCTTTGTAACAGGAACCTGCATTCTATAGCCACTAGTTAGCTTGACACTAGATGTCTGACTGGACATAGAACAGTTGCTTTCCATGCTTAGTCTTTGGTTCTGAATGTTGATAATGTTCTCAGAATTCAGATTTTCATCCACAATTTTGTTCTTTACCTGCATCCTCTCTTCCATGACCTGATGCTCCAAGGACTGTTTCTTCAGAAGCGTCTGTCGGAAACTTTCAGTCTGTATGTCAGAAAACCTGTGTACAGATGCTTTCCGTGGTCGCATTTGTAAAACTACACCATTGACAATTTTCTGGCGATTTTTTTCAGCCATTTTTTCTGCCTCTGTCTTGATCCTGGGTAATGCCTTGGCATCATTAAGTGGGATATTGTGAATTTCTCCAGGCCTGAAATGAGTCATGGCATTGAGTTTGGCCTGCTCCCTGACGCTGAGATGTAGATTCCTCCGCTTGACTGCAGAAATGTAGAGCCTCTCCCACTCGGACTTTTCCGTGATGGACAGTCTCGAGCTGGGTGTCTCCTCCCATTGGCTGTCCCCCATTGAGGCGAGCTTGTCTTTGGAGGGGGGAATCAGTGAACTTCGTCTTCGGTCTTTCATTACCTGGTTCTCTTTGACCTCCATCTTCTCAAAAAATCTGGCCAAATTTTCCCCTTTGTCATTGGGCAAATTTTTCAGATCTTCCATTTTCTGAAAAGGAGAGATTTTCTTCTTGATATTCAATTGACCAAAAGGCAAACGAAGTTAAATCCATTAGAGATCATGTTTATAATATCCCTGAGATTTGCTAAAATTTTTCTATTGTTCTAGTCTATGATATTTGCTAACATTTTTCTGCTGATGCATTCAAGAAAATATTTTTCTAAACAACATCCAATCCCCCCTTTCAAGCATTATTAATTTATGCAGATTCTTACCTTTATATTGGTGAACAATGACTTTTGTTCACCAAGGTTTTTACCAATGCTATCACCAAATTTCAAGCCTTATATCTCTTCCTGTAGACTTCTTTTCTGAAGGTCTCAGAATAAACTTCATGGCAAACATGGTCTCTTTTATATATACAATTCATATTCTTAAAGTTTTCTCTGATTGGCTGTTTTTTCTAATAAATCAGAATTCACATCATGGTGTTGATTGACATTTTGAAAAACAAGACTGTGATTGATTAGAAAATAACTAATCCATGATCTTCATATACTATATAATACAAAGCATACATGCGTGTTCTCTTGCAAATAAAAGTGATGTTAATGTATTTATAGTTCTGATTTTCACATCAAAATAATCTAAGTTATTTCACAGTTTTATACTACAGTTACACGCCTTCGGTACAAACAAGGATACTCAAATTTATGAATATGGTGAATTTTGTTTTATCCCAGGTGAAATTCTTAACTACTCTACGTAAAATTTTACAGTTATACCAAACTCTGACGTAATGAATTTACGGATATAGAAAACTGAATATGCATCCAGTAGAGGTTAAAAATAACAAAATTTACATCTTTTAATATAATAATGAATTTTTTTTGAAAAGATTTCAAAATTTTAAATAATAAACTGATATTATTTTTCTTAATTACATGTGAAATTCAATATTTGGAAAGTTTTTTTTAATACTGAACATATTTGGTAGTCATACTTGAAGGAAAATACATAAACTGCATATTTGCTACATGTATATATTTTAATGAATTCATTATATAAAAATAACAGATATACATAGTGAAGTAAGTTCACGGTTCCCCAGAACTTCATTATAACCAATTTTACTGTTCGTTAAAATTATGAGTTAATAGAGAGTTTTAAGACATTTCCATATATGAAGGATAAAATAAAACTGAAATTCATCAAGAAAAATTTAAACAAGAGTCCAGTTGGTCACAATACACAGTATAAGTCATATTGCTCTTATTAGACCCCTGCTACTGACGACTGCAGTGTAATATGATTCCCCTTTAAAATTAAGTAAGAGAGGAGAAAAATGTATGGCTGGACTGGGATTCAAACCTGAGACCCCTGCATCACTATAGTCTGGTGCTCTACTGACTGAGCTTCCCAGGCTGATATCCACAGCCCAAACCATCACAATTAAAAAGGCCATAATTATGTCAAAAATCATCAAAGCAGTACAAAAGGCAAACTTGATCTGATTGTTTAGAAAAAGTGCGGAAATCCAAGTGGGACAGACTGACAGACAGACTAGCAGGTTTCACCTGAACGAGCAGTCCAAAATATCTGACGTTTTCCAGGCTTTTTTCACAATTTTGATATTTTATGTGCCAGGAAAATGACAGAACTGCGCCATTACGAAAACTGGGAATTCGCCGCCTCTAACTGGAGGCAGCATTCCTGGGTTGATTTTCGATACTTGCGAACCGAATTAAATGTCAAACTTGCAACTTATCAATCGAACAATACTTTTAGTACTCACCAACCATGTTTTTATGGTGGTTCATAAAATATACATATATATATTGGTGAATACTAAAAGCATTGTGCTATTGATAAGTTGTGAGTTCGGCATTTAATTCAATTCTCAAGTATCAAAAATCAACTCCGGTTGGAAATGGTTTTCATAATGGCACCGATTCTGATGTTTTCCTGGCACATAAAATATAAAAATTGTGAAAAAAAAGACTGGAAAATGTCAGATATTTAGGACTACTGTAGGAGGAGTAGCATTTTGAAATCAGCATTCATTGAAATCAAAAACTGATAAACAGAATTATATATGTTAGTCTAGTGTACTTGTGTGCCAAGTTATTGAAATCAGACCAGAACTGTAGGAGGAGTAGCATTTACTTGTACTTGTGTGCCAAGTTATATTGAAATCAGACCAAAACCGTAGGAGGAGTAGCATTTAAAGTATTTCACAGACATTTCTATTTTTAGTAACCATGTTCATTAAAATCAAAAAACCAATAAACAGAATTATGTATCTTAGTGTAGTCTACTTGTGTGTCAAGTTATACTGAAGTCAGACCAAAATTGTAGGAGGAATGGCATTTATCAAGTTACATTGAAATCAGACCAAAACTGTAGGAGGAGTAGCTTTTTGAAAGTATTTCACAGATATTTCTATTTTTAGTAACCTTGGCAACACTGTTCATCAAAATGAAAAACCAATAAGAAGAATTATGTATCTTAGTGTAGTCTACTTGTGTGCAAAGTTACATTTAAATCAGACCAAAACTGTAGGAGGAGTAGCATTTTGAAAAATTGTTTACAGATGGACAGCTATACAGACGGACGGATGGATACCGGAAACTTACTATCACATAAGCTCTTCTGGTCTCTGACCAGCAGAGCTAAAAATTGAAAACATCAAACCTTATGTGTAATGGAAGAATTTAAAACTTTCACAACTATTAATAGCTATAGCTGAACTTTGCTAACTCGAACATAGATATCTCAAACACTGTGGATTTGTCTAAGTGATTTAGAAGTCCCAACCATTTATTCTTTATGCATTTTACCCTCGATATCTAAAATCCTCATACATCTCGAAGTTTTTTCTCGGTCCCATTGAGTTTGAGATAACGAGGTTTGACTGTACATGCATAGGATCAAAATTATGTGTAACACCATTTACGGAAATAAATGATTCATAGTATCAACAGAGTTAAAAACAGGGTTCACACATCATTGAGGTCATTCATTAAGTTTTACCTATAATTCCTTGTAAGAATCACATACTTCTATTGGTCAAATATCTAGCATACTTGTATATATCCCATGTTTACCCCTTTATCCTGTGGATATGACTCATTGGATAATTTTTTCATATTCCACAGTTAAGTGCAGTTGTGACGTCACAATGGTTTTTGCGTTAGAGTGATTAAGTAAAATAAAGTGGAGTCCTGTATAAAACAGTGTAAAACATTGGTTGTGAAGTATTAAACATGGGATAAAAAGAATCTCCCATGATTTGTAGTTGGATATGACTTTTATCCAACTCGTTGTGTGTTTTTATCCCCTCGCCAAGGCTCGGGGATAAAAAACACACAACTCGTTGGATAAAAATCATATCCAACTACAAATCATGGGAGATTCTATATTTATGTGATACATGTACTTTGGCATAAATGTTCCTTTACTTATTTTGCAGTCTTACATACAACAATCCCATGTACTTTATATAAAATACAATTCATTGATAAATGCTAATTTATCACTAGTTTACAAATTCAAGAGTGCCAGGATGAGGACATGGTTACTCCAGTGTATTAACTTTACAGGTGTTCAGACAGGATAAATCAAATTTAAATCTGAAAGTATGTATAAGCTACTTATATACAATTATGTGACATATCACACATATACATCACTGATTACAATCATGGTATTTGAATCAGTTTGGCAAGTAAAATATTTCTAAATAAATGTAAATACATGAAATAACTGGCTATAGCTTTTTGGGGTTTATGAGGTATGTACATGTAATACATTGATGCATATGCTACAAAGCTACATTAATTCATACATATTTACATTTCCAATGTCTTTGTCCGAGATAAAATTACAAATTGTAAAAATACTTTATTTCTACATAAATCTACTGGTTCATCGATAGGCGCGGTTAAAAAAAATCATGTGCGGGGCGGGACAAATAGAGACAGAAGCGGGGCTATTAGCACGGGAATTTGCAGAATCAGGAGCATGTAAATATAAGGAATAACTGTCAGATTTTTTGGATTCATGACGATGATCAAATAGATTGGCTTGCGTGATAATTTTATGCATAAACGCCTTCGGCATTTATGCAAATTATCACGCAAGCCACTCGATTGATCACATCATGAATCCAAAAAATAAGACAGTTATTCCTTAAATATTTACATTTCCAATGTCTTTGTCTGAGATAAAATTTCAAATAGTAAAAATACTCTATTTCTACATAAATCTACTGGTTCATCGATTGTGGTGAAAAAAAAAATCACGTGCGGGGCGGGACAGACAGAGACAGAAGCGGGGCTTGTAGCATGTGAATTTGCAGAATCAAGAGCATGCATGTAAATATAAGGAATAACTGTCAGATTTTTTGGTTTCATGATGATGATCAATCGATTGTCTTGCGTGATAATTTTATGCATAAACGCCTTTGGCGTTTATGCAAATTATCACGCAAGCCAATCGATTGATCACATCATGAAACCAAACAAGAGGCCCATGGGCCACGACGCTCACCTGAGTCAATATGGCCCTGCTGTTCTTTGTCAGCAGATTTCTTCTTCTATATATTCATACGTAAAGCTTTGATCAACTGTTCTAGGCATAACCTATCCCCATTTGCCATGTTTTGAATGAAATTGAATCTAAACTTTCTGAGGATGCTTCTATATTCATATAACTAATCATGGTTTTGCTGTTCTTGAAACGGAATTTTAAAGATGTCTGCCATCCTACCCTGGGGGGAAGGAAGGGAGGGGGGGTTCAAGATTTGAACAAACTTGAATATACACTACCTAAGGATGCTTCCATATCAATATGACTAATTATGGCTTTGTTGTTCTTGAGAAGAAGATTTTTTAAGATATTTCTTATATATATTCTTTTGTTAAACTTTGATCCCCGATTATGGCCCCACCCTACTACTGGAGGATGCCTTGAACAAACTTGAATCTACAATACTTGGGGATGCTTCAATATCAAAATGACTAATCATGGCTTTCCTGTTCTTGAAAAGATTTTAAAAGATTTTTCCTATTTATTCCTATGTAAAACTTTGATCCCCCATTGTGGACCCACCCTACCCCCAGGGGTCTTGATTTCGACAAATTTGAATCTACACTACCTAAGGATGATTCCATATCAATATGACTAATTGTGGCTTTGTTGTTCTTGAGAAGAAAATTTTTAAAGAATTTTCCTATATATTCCTATGTAAAACTTTGATCCCCCATCGTGGCTCCACCGTACCCCCGGGGGTCATGATTTGAACAAACTTGAATCTACATTACCTGAGGATGATTCCATATCAAAATGACTAATTGTGGCTTTGTTGTTCTTGAGATAAAGATTTTTAAAGAATTTTCCTATATATTCCTATGTAAAACTTTGATTCCCTATTGTGGCCCCACCCTACCCCCGGGGGTCATGATTTGAACAAACTTGAATCTACATTACCTGAGGATGATTCCATATCAAAATGACTAATTGTGGCTTTGTTGTTCTTGAGAAAAAGATTTTTAAAGAATTTTCCTATATATTCCTATGTAAAACTTTGATCCCCTATTGTGGCCCCACCCTACCCCCGGGGGTCATGATTTGAACAAACTTAAATCTACACTACCTGAGGATGATTTCATATCAATATGACTAATTGTGGCTTTGTTGTTCTTGAGAAGAAGATTTTTAAAGAATTTTCCTATGTATTCCTATGTAAAACTTTGATCCCCCATTGTGGACCCACCCTACCCCCGGGGGTCATGATTTGAACAAACTTGAATCTACACTACCTGAGGATGATTTCATATCAATATGACAAATCATGGCTTTGCTGTTCTTGAGAAGAAGATTTTTAAAGAATTTTCCTATGTATTCATATGTAAAACTTTGATCCCCCATTGTGGCCCCACCCTACCCCCGGGGGTCATGATTTGAACAAATTTAAATCTACACTACCTGAGGATGATTTCATATCAATATGACTAATTGTGGCTTTGTTGTTCTTGAGAAGAAGATTTTTAAAGAATTTTCCTATATACAGTGGAGCCGCGTTTATCCGGACGCCATTTATCCGGATGCTTCACCATCCGGATGATATTTTTTGGGAACCGATTTTTTCCACGTTATTTTGTCTCATTAATCTGGAAAATCGCGTTCCGTATCCGGACGGTCTATTTCTACTACAAAACATAAAAGTTCATTCAAAAATTGACTCGTTTATCCGAACGGTAATTTTTCAAGAAACGACATTTTCTCACTTATCTTGCATTAATTGGTGTTAATTATTGTAAAAACATTGGCCATGCAGTCAGTTTGAAGGCGGTTACCTGTGACCTACAAACAATAGCGTCTATAATTAGCGTGTGTTTACCCCACGTTTATCTTTATTATGAAGCTCAAAGAATTTAGCTGGCACTGTGCATTAATTAAATAATAATCCGTTCAAAATCATATTGCTAACCGTATATACATTGGTAAATTCAGGAGAATTTTGAGGAGTTGTAAATAAAATGAACAATAAATAACGAGCGATGTCGTAATGCTCTTTATAATGTCGATTGCGTTAGTTTAAAATACGATGTTCCATTTCTAAAAAACGTAAATGTATTTGAAACGCTTTTTCCCCCACAAGACAGTATAGAAAGGTACATAATTGAAGAAATATCTCTATCTAATGTACTACCGTTTACAAATATCCATTACATATAAAACTGGCGTTGATTAGAAGTTGATTAGTAACGTTTTTCAAGGTATTTTTTAATGATCGAAATTCAAACCTAGCGTCTGTAGAAAAAATAATATTGATAATCATGAAGATGGCTTTTGTTTACGAACGTTTTTAATACTTTGTTTGAGTTAGTTTGCAGTGTTCAGTTAATTTTATAGTAACCCTGTGTAATGAATATACGGGGAATATACAGGGTTAGTTTATATTTATAGTTTAACATTGCTGAACAGTTCTGTCATATCATATGAGCTTCAATAATTATAATATATGGCGAAATTAAACAACAGTAGATCAAAATTTGCTCAACCCATGAAGTCACATGCCAAAGAGAAGGCGAATTAAAAAAGGAGGTCTCGGCATAAAATTGCCCATCCATTTTTTTTTTTATTGTGTAAATTACATTTTAATATATTTTTTCATTAATCAATTATTGCTTTAAAAACAATTAACCAAAATATAATTTAAAAGTTTTTTCTTTGCTGTCACATTTGAAACAAGACTGTGCATATATACATGCTTAGAGAGTGCTTTTTGAGATGTGATTCAATTATCCGGATGATTCATTTATCCGGATGATTTCCTTGGGGACAGAGGCGTCCGGATAAACGAGGCGCCACTGTATTCCTATGTAAAACTTTGATCCCCCATTGTGGCCCCACCCGACCCCCGGGGGTCATGATTTGAACAAACTTGAATCTACACTATGTAATGAAGGTTTCCCATAAGTTTCAACTTCTCTGGCCCAATGGTTCTTAAGAAGAAGATTTTTAAAAAAAGACACCAAATTTTCACTTATTTTTAATTATCTCCCCTTGGAAGAGGGCATGGCCCTTCATTTGAACAAACTTGAACCCCCTTCTTCCAAGGATGCTTTGTGGCAAGTTTGGTTGAAAATGGCCCAGTGGTTCTGGAGAAGAAGTCGAAAATGTGAAAAGTTTACAGACGGACGGACGGACGGACAGACGGACAGACGGACTACGGACAAAATGTGATCAGAAAAGCTCACTTGAGCTTTCAGCTCAGGTGAGCTAAAAATTAGACAGTTATTCCTTAAATATATGGGTTCACACCTGTAGAAATCTAGCCATGCCAACACCTGGGAAATAACAACTAGTTAAAAACCCCAACCTTGAAACCATTTGACATTTTACAAAACATGCTGATGAAATAAACATGTTAAAATCTACATGAAGTAATACACGTAAAACAAAACATACATGATTATTTCATCTTCTTAATTCTAAGTATTAATTGAGCAGACTAAAAATATCAGAAGATTTTCGCAAGTTTTAATACACATGTAATTTTTTTTTCTCATGATTATATATTATCATAATTATGTAAAACCACCAGAAAAAAACAACCTTTTTTTGCTTACAGTACCTTGCTTGGAATTGAAAAAAAAAACTCTCTCTCCCTTTTCTTTTCCTATAGTACACACTTTATTTTTAGTAGGATGATCTTTTTCCAGGAAAAAGTTGAAGGGGGGGGGGGGGGGGGGACTAAACAAGCCACATGATGATTTATATGTTTTGGCCACTATGGTTAGTGCATATGTACCTTGGAAAGCATGAAATACTTACTATATTGTTTTTAGCCACACCCTTCAATACCTTGGAGAACATATGAGATACTTACTACATGTATATTGTTTCTAGCCACACCCTTCAATGCCTTGATGAGGTACTTACTATATTGTTTCTAGCCACACCCTTCAATGCCTTGATGAGATACTTACTATATTGTTTCTAGCCACACCCTTCAATGCCTTGGAGAACATAAGGTACCTCCCCCCAGATCCTGAGGAGGGTGAGCACTCATCCGTGTCGGGGTCATGGTTACTGCCCCAGTTGTGACCTGAAAGGTTAATATTTTTACACTGAGATGGTAGTTTTTCATCAAAATCTATTTGTATCTTTTCTGAGTCCACAGGTCTCTGTTGAAACTGTACTCAGGTAGCTCCACTTTTTTTACTTTTAATTAAATAGTCTAAAGAAAATACATGTACTGTAGTTGCATATATTAAGCATTCCCCTTTCTGAAGTTTCATTAGAGATGACAATGTACATATTTTCATTTATGACAGAGATATGAGCTGAATGCTAAAATAATTTCAGGAGTTATACTTAGAAATAATAAACTTTATTATTTTATACTTTTCAATTATAAACCAATACACAGAATCATGTTTTAAGATGTAATCTATATGCATTCAGAGTTCTATTCAAAATTTTAAAAGAAATGTACAGTAACAGCTAGAACTTGCATTTTGAAATGATTTGACAACGCTATTTTCAGTGAAAGTAGTTACATTGTATATCATATCACATAAATTATCACAATAGGTTTTATTTTTAGTAACAGTGTTTTTACGAATTAAATTTGTTATAACAAATTTGACAATTCGTTATATCGAATTCAATTCATTTAAAAAAATTCTAAAATATGTTATAACAATTAAGTGCGTTAACTTTAAACAATTCAACAATCCGGGCCTATAGAAAAATATATATGACTTCGATATAACGATTTTTTAAATTCATTTTAATAAATTTTATTCGTTATAGCAAATTAAAGAATTCGTTTTAACGAATTTAATTTGTCATAACAAGTTTTAGAATTTGTTATAACAAATTTAATTCGTTATAACAAATTTTTGAATTAGCTATCACGAATTCAACAAAGAACTATATACGGTAAGGGCGTATTCCTGCCCCCATAATAGTCAAATTTTGAAAATCTCTTGAAATGAGAAAAAGTGCATATATTGTATAAAATAATCCAAATTAAGACAATATATTATGAAATTGGAAAAATTAGCTGGCTTTTCTTGTCTCTGTGACGTCACAAACTATTAGGATTTCCGTTATTTTTAAAATAGAGGCCAAAATGCACAGAGTTTGTTCAATTTTGACTATAGTTTTTATAGAGCGCAAGCTTGCTCAGGTACCGTATTCACATATTTCATTGATATTATCATTCTACACATTATATCAAAAGATCTAGTCTGAGCAGACCTGCGCTCGATAATTTCCAATCAAAATACCGACGTAAAATACGCTATTTTCTCTCAAAATCATTGCAATTTGGAATTTACGTCATTTTATTGACGTCATATCTAACTAATGATGTCATAGTTAATAAAAATATTTAATGCTTTGAAGTCTGCAAATATCCACCTGGTTTAGAACATAATTAAAGATTTCTCCATCAAAGTTTTATTTTGGGGGCAGATACTGGCCACTACAGAATATAGTCCTTTGTTATAACAGATTAAATTCGTCAAAACGAATTCAAAGAAATCGATATAACGAATTAAAATTGTTATAATAAATTCAACAATTCATTATATCGAATTCAAAAATATTTTTTGATAGTTCCTAAATGGGCTTCCATATAAACATGCACAGATTCAGATAAATAATTATGTTTCTGCTTTCTTAAACTGTACAAAAACTGTACCATTAATTTAACAAACAAAGTTTTAATGGTGCTAAAATAATTCACTGAAATTAAAATTGATGTATTGAGATTTTTTACCCTTATGTAATCTACAACTATATCAAGTTTTAGTCAAATCAGTCAAATACCATAGAAAGATAATGCAATCCTGAAAATAAGTGTCACTTTTCTTACCAGAACTTCAAATAAGCTTCAGCTTTAATATATTTTTGAGACTTAAGGGTATCTCCTTAAATTTTAAAGGAATTTAATATTTTACTTACCAATTTCTGAAAATATCCATTTGAAGAGACATCACATAAAAAAAACAACAACAAAAATTAAAAACTTAATTCCAAAATATATATATAAAATTTTACATTGGTGTTAATTTTCAAAGTAACTCAAACGATGCCCATTGGCCAATCCCCTGAATCGACACCTTGGCACATTTTTAAATGATTTTTCCTATTTTCATTTTGACATTATATATTTTTAATTAAATAATAAAATAAGCGTACATTAATATCTTATGGAAAAAAAGTATTGTATACAGGGAAATTTTCGCCTCTGTTTTATTTTTGCCCCTTTTGCCCTACTCTCAGTTGGGCGAATTTAAAACGGGGGTGAATTCAAAAAACACAGCATAATTTCTTAAACAGAACTGTAATTGGGCAAATTTAAAACTTAAAAAAAAAATTTTTTTTTTGCAAATGTGAAAGGGCGAAAATAACAAGGGGCAAAAATAACCCTGTATACAGTACTTCAACAGTAACTGACAAAAACAATTGCATATTTATTTCTATAAGTATTTTATGCATACACATACTTCTTTTGTGTAAGAAAAAAAATATGCGTCTAAATTGGACTAAGCGAATTTAAAAAGGTGGAAATGTTACCATGGGCAACAGTTGACATAGAAACAATGGATAACTGTCTATTTCCCTCTGGATCCATGAAGGATGACAAACCGACATTGAGTGCCTCCTTGCTCCAGGTGTCAGCATTGGAACACATCCCTCCCCAGTCAAACGGTCGGCTGGAAGCCACGTAGGCCAGGCCTAGCTTCCCATTAAATGGTGAAAAGGTCAGAAGATGCATGAGACAGTACTGACTGTGTTGACTGTAATAAGCCTTCCCAAATGCCTACAGAAAAACATTCATTTGTTAATCTACTTAATGGAATTCTGTTATATATTTCTACGGTAACTTATTTGACTATTTTAAGCTAATATCAAATAAAGACATTGACTGTGCCACTGTCAAAGTTGAGAGATGAATAGATCTCACAAGTCTTGCAATTCTTTCAAAATCCCTATATGTGATTTTATCATTTACTTTTTAATTATATATCTAATATGATATTTGATCTTTAATGGGATACAGCTGAGCTTTGGTATCTTGAACATGTATATCTCAAATACCATAGATATATCAAAGTGATTTGGAAGTCCCAAGCACTTTTTAAAAAAGTATTTTACCCTCAATATATACGCTCAGATCTCGGAGTTTTTCTCGGTCCGATCGAGTTTGAGATAATGGGGTTTGGCTGTATATACAGTAAGAAACTGACCAGCCTTCACTATTATTTAAGTTAGGTCCTAAATTTCATTTACTTACTTAAATGCAAGATGGTAAACATAAATTATAACTTTATCACAGTTAATGTCATTTCACAGTTTTACTGACTTGTGTTTGACAAAGCAATACATGGGCTGACGTAAGTTTTGTGTATAACTTCAGTGATATCTGAATTCTTTCTGCAGTTTGACTTGATAGTGTATTAAAATTATCACCCCTGCTGTGAATATATAGATACAAAATAACAATGTATATCATGCTTACTACAGTCTACTTTTTATAGTTGTTTTTTTCTTCTGTTGAGGTTTGTAATTTTATTTTCATAATAATTAAGCCATGAATTATTGTTTCAACCAATAAATTTGCATAAATTACCAGGGAAAATATTAATACACATCTCTGCAAGATGACTGTCAAATAAAACTGCAACTTTCAAAGTCTGTGACATTGGCATTGCCAAGGCCAGGTTGAAATTAAGAAAAACAAGGCCCATGAGCCTTAATGCATGGTCACCTGAGTAATTATGAGTTTATCTAGCTGGCTAACTCATCAAAATCTGGCACTGGAACTCTTGACTCATGTATCTTTTTTTTTGGTAAAGGCTCTGTACATACATATTAATATGACTAGAAGTAGAAAAGAGTTTTAAATATAAAATGACATACAATAAATCTCTCATCTTAAACACAGAAAATGATACCGACCTCACAAGCTCTGGCACTATCGCTTTTTGTGTCTTCCTTTAATTTCACTTGACACGTGTTCTTACATAAGCACAATTACCCTCCTACACTGAAGTCCATAATTGTATATTCATATGCAAAATTAGGGATTGCTTCGATCCATGTGACACATGCACAGTGTTATTTTTGTTGATATGATATGCAGTTGGGTTTTGTAAGAAAATATAGAGGAAATATTTTACACTATATTTATAGAATTGTAAATGTTTAATAATGACCATAAGAAAAAAAACCCCAAAACAATTACCTGTAAATGTTTGGATTGTGATGGCTTATAGTCTGGTATATTAAATGGATAGTTTACACTCTGCTTATTGAGCAATATAAGACTGTCCCTGTGTATTGAAATTTGTAACAAATCATGCTTCGACTTCTCACTGGTACTTTTTTCTTCTTGGAATTCAAAGACAAGATTGTGAGTAAACTTTTTATTTTTTTGCACTATCAAGTGGGATATCATTCTGCCTAAATTATCAGTATCATAACATAAAATCCAAAATAGTCCTTAATAAAATTAAGCTAACAAAAATTAAACCTTGCTTAAATTTCTATTTTAATGTTGGCCAAATTAAGTTATCAATATTAAGTCAGAGAGAGAGAGAGAGAGAAATCTCTTTTTTTACTCATTCACTGTTTAGCACCTCAGGCCCAATATATTCCTTGTTTAGTGTCAGCTTGACCCTGTGAACATGACTGTAACCTACCTTAAAGTTAGTTTCTTGTTAGTTTTAGTAATTATAGTTTGATAGTTTTAATCATCTGTAACCTACCTTAAAGTTAGTTTATAGTTAGTTTTAGTAATTATAGTTTGATAGTTTTAATCATTATGCACATAATGACATAGAAACCCAGCCATAAAGCTTGGGTTTGGAGTGTAGCAAGTTATTTGGTATTAGCAAAACCTTTTTTTTTTCAGGGTGTGAAACGTGTACCAAGTTCTATAATCTATCACACTAAAAGTATAGGAGGAGCAGTGTTTTGAAAGAAATTCACTAAAATTGTTAACAGATGGACACCTTATCATTGTACAAGCTCTTCTGGTGTCTGACCAGTAGAGTTTTTCAAAAACAACTTGTTTTTTCCTAGACTTCAGTTGAAAACAGTGAGTGATAATTAAGTGTGAAAGAGCTTACGTACTTTCAGTAAATCCTCCATTGTCATTGAGCGACTTTTCATGTTAAAGCCTGCATCTGAAGAACTTTCATGAACAATCAGCTAAAAAATTCAATAAAAATGCACTTTACATACATTGTTAATTTATTTTAAGTCTATCTCATCCTTTAAAACAAAGAAAATTAAAAGCAGAGTAAAAAAAATAATTGCAGTGCATTAAATACCACCGTCACTGTATTTTTTCCATGCCAATTGAAAATAACCAATTTGTATTTAATTAATTACATAATATCTGACTCCCCAGTATCATCAGACACTCAGACTATATTAATTAATATGCACAGAGAGATGTAATTCCTTTCATTTAATATAGATATTAATCAATCTACATGAGGTAATGGAATTGAATTTCTTTCATTAAGTCTCTTTAAACTTTCAAGTATTGCTAATTAACTCTCAATGTATAATTTATTATTTTTTCTTGTTTGACTTCCCAAATCCCCCTTTATAGCTAAATCATAATTTATAAGTGGCAGATCTAATAGCTGTCTCATATTCTAAATATTCTAAGCCCCCTGGGCACAAATATTAGGCTGAATATTGTATGATATTTTGTTATTTAATATTCCAAGGTATGTACAATATCTGAAATGTTTCAACATATCTTTAATTAAGATCATTAATACATCATCATTAAATGTGTTGCTATATGGTTCCTAAATCTAGACATGTGTGATATGTTACTTATCAAATTATCAATGAAAGATGCATAATTACTTACAAAGAGTATATTTTTTAAAACAAGGGGCTCCTATAGGGGCTCCTTAAAAATTTAATTGTAAAAATTAATAAAAAAAACATTAAAATTTTATTTTTAAATATCGATCACTACGTCAATGGATTTATTAAAGTAATTGGAATTAAAGTTAATATAAGAGTGTTAATTTTCTAACATTTTACATGAGACTTTTATTTTATTAAAAAAAATATATATATTCAATGTCAAGGATTTACTGCATTATTGAAAAACATTTTATTTTTGTAATCTTTCAATGACTTTTTGTCCTTTGCACAACCCCCGGCCCTCCCTGCCAGTCATTCTGTGTAGAAATCATGATTTTTTTGACAAATTCTTTCCATTTTTTTTTTCAATCACTTAGGAGTGTTATTGCAATTTTCTGCCTTGACTGATTTGATTCTGACTCTACATAAAGCTTGGGCAGTCAACATTCAATCTTTGGTTATAAAGACTGCTGTACATGTCATACATTTCATCAGATATATTTTTAAACATTCATCTTTTTTCTATACATTCCAGTTTCACATGCATCTCCTTTCTCAATTAATCCCCTATCAGAGATTTAACTTCTACTATAGATAAAGATTGATCCCTGCAGTGAGGCCTTGAGCTGTCATTATTACCAGGTATTCTTGTTTGTTTCAATCCTCTTGATACCCAGGTGTATTATACACTCTGATTTGTGCACAATTAATAAACTGTATAATTCAGGTGTTAACCACCTCTTTTCTGTGGGATAAATGCAGGCCTATCTCACAATAATTAGATATCTCCCTCAAAGTTTTTTAGTCATCATATGATGTAATAGTATTGTTATCATGATATATTGCAAGATAAAAATTACCACCTGAAATGCTTGTTTAGATGTCTATATGAAAACATGGTTTCTGGTTCAATGAATATCATATTCCACAAAAAATGCTGATAACAATTGGGAGAAAAAAATGAATATTTAAGGAATAACTTTATGAGTTTGCTCATGTGATAATGCCTTTATGCATAAACTTAAGGAAAAAAGAAGGTGGAAGAACTAAAAAAAAATATGCAGATGGAGAAAGAAAAAAGGTCAACCATGACCTTTCAGCTTTTGACCTTCAAGTCAACAGGGGTCTTTTTTAGATAAAAGAAATTCTTGACCTTAAGTTTCATTGCAAAAGCTTACAACTGAGAACTAAATAAAGTTATCATTTGCAAAACTATGTATGTAATATGACTGTATGTATGATATATAAATTTCTGACCTTGGTCTTTGTCCTTTTGACCTCAAAATCAATAGGAGTCTTTTTTAAGTCACAATTATTCATTAACAGTACAAATTTTCATTGCAAAACCTCAATGTTATCAACTGGAAATCATTTTATGCAAGATATGAACTTTTCATTTTTCACCTTGCCCTTTTGACCCAAAAATCAAACTGTGATCGAGAGTTATGATATAAAATTTCATAGAAAAAGCTCAAGAAAAACTTAAGTTATTATCTGGAAATCATTTTTTGCATTGTATGAATTTTTTACCTTTACCTTTTTTCACCTAAAAATCAAAAGGGGTCTTCCTTAAGTCACCAGGAGTTAGGATATATAACTTCATTGAAAAAGTCTCGACAACTAAAGTTATCATCTAGAAACCATTTTTTGATCTAGAAACCATTTTCGACATATATACACTTGTGACCTTTGACCTTAAAATAGATAGGGGTCTTTTAAAGGCCATAAGGAGTCGTGATATAAAATTACATCACAAAATCTTGAAGGCTTTCTATGATATACTGGTAGTCTAGAAATGAAAGTGCCACACAGACAGAATGTATGAATTTCTGACTTCAACCTTTGACCTTTTCACCTCAAAACCAATACATGTAGTGGTCTTTTTAAGGCCATAGGAAGTTGTGACATTAAAAATTTCATTGAAAGAGGCTCAAAGAAGACTGAAGTTATCATCTGGAAACTATGTATTTGCAATGTATGAATTTTTTATCTTCACCTCTTGACTTTTTTTTTCCTCAAGAGCAATAGGAGTCTTCTTTGGGCCTTAAGCAGCTGTGATATAAAATTTCATTGCAAAAGCTCAAAGGCTTTTTAAGATGTAGTCTTGAAAGGAGAGTGTTTACACACAGACAAAATGTATGAATTTATTATCTTGACCTTTGACCTAAAAATCAATAGGGGTCTTCCTTAGGCCACATAAGTTGTGATATAAAATTTCATTGCAAAAGCTCAAAGTATAACAAAGTGTTATGCAGACAGAATGAAGTACAGATGGACAGATGGATGGACAAAGCCAAATCTCTGAAAGTGGGAGGCAAAAGAAACAGTTATTCCTTATATTTACATTTGTACCTGATCCTTGATGTAATAAAAAATTTACACTTATTCAACAGCCTGCAAGCTCACCCTGTTTATTTCTAAGCAACACTTAACAAGAAAGCATACATTTCTGTCATGTGCTAAGCAAAACACTCTCTGAAGATGTAAAGCTATTTCCTTATATATTTGTAGTTTTATCTTGTCCTTGGTGCAGGCCTTATGTACTCAAAGCATGAAGAGGACTAAATAAGTAAGTTATATCTCAGACAAACATATTTAAAAATGTCAATAATACGAGATTTAGTGCATTTCATTTACTGAAAGTTTAGTTATTTTTAAAAAGTAATGTGTTCCCATAAAAAGTGGCATAATGTTTTGTCCACTTCTGACAGGTTACAGAATATTTTTAAAAAATTTTAAGCATTTTTACAAAGTCTTTAATAGAAATAAAGAGTAAGGATTGCACAAGTTTGTTACAGTTGAACTTGAACACCCATATCTCACCCACTCATTCTAATATGCATTTTTACTCTAATAACTCGAATCCTCAGTTATCTCAATGATTTTTCTTAGCCCCATTGAGTTCAAGATAATGAGATTTGACTATACTGTATTCATAACCTCACTGCTAACCAATAATTGGAAATTAAAAAAAAATGTTTGTCACTGATCAATGATAACGAAGATATAGCATTGTTTTAGTTGATATATATAGCATTTTCCATTCTGATATACATGTACATGTATCACACAGTGTCTGATTACCACATGGGGTTTGAAATACGCATATTGATGTCACGTGTCTTACCAAATTGATATTAGAAGCAGCAAAATCTTTATACAATTGATTACTAGGATTTTTAGAGTATGACATTATGAAAATAAAAGGCTAAGCTTGAATTTTTTTATGTTAGGCATTTTTTTACCTTGCTGATTTCCAGTCCCAGTCCTATGGCTCCCTCGCCCCAGGAAGTTTTCTTAAATATCTCGTTAACTTGACTGATCACATTGATCTACAAAATATCACGTCTGCATTTTTAACCAATACAATTAATATATCACTTTATAATTGTTTTATTCTCCATATATCAGTGAAAGGCATATAGATTAACTAAATCTTGTGCCAAATTTTCTCATGTTACAGTGCAGTGTAGTTTAGAGTCTTAATACATCTTAGTGTAAGAATAAACTTAAAAAGTTTTTGCAAAATTCAGATTTTTGGAAAAGACAATAATGTAGACTTTTGAACACTTTTAACATTGACTTTTTCCAAACAGCCTTATTAAAGTCATAACAAAACCTCAAGGCATTAGCAATTTGTGTGCCTTGTTAAAATGCCAATGTTCTTTTTTTTTTCCATTAAATAGCTGGAGTGCAGACATCGGTTAAGGACAAGGAGTTGGACAGCCATAGTTATACCAACATACTGTTCCCCAACTGAATTTCTACTTAGAGAAGGGGATTCTTTAAAAAGTTCTTAACTGAAAGCCCTAAGTTGTTATATGTAAGAATTTAAAGTTACATAATGAGTCAAAATCGTGTATTTCTTTTATGAAAGTTGTATCACAAATCAAAAGATTTATGTGAAATATAAATATAGCAAAGTTTTGGCAACTCAACTGCACGGTAAAGCAAGAAAAAAACTGCAAAATATAAGTGCCGGAAAAACAAATGTTGTATCTATCACTTTGGTTTTATCACCAATGTCCACAATGTCAAGGTCACGTGTCCTTTATTTTTACCTTGAAACTTGTAAACAACATTAAATTTGGAGCAAGCAGAAGTGAGAAATAAGTTCTGATCATCTTTTTTGAAGATTGTATAAAAATTCTCGGTCATCTGACATTGATATCTATGGAATTGAAACCATGGTAAATTCTTCAACTTTTCAGCACATGCGTACAATAAAGAGGAAGAAGTGAAGCAATATTTTTGTGATGGGTTATACAAAGATTTTTTTTTACTTTATCTTTTATTTTCTCCATTAAAGTAGATTTTTTAGGTTTTGAAACCCGTAATCTTCTGAAACCTAATACTTTCAAGAACTGAACAAAATTTGCACGTGTCATGCATAAATTCTACTTTAATTTGTCGATTTTCGCGTTTTTCCATCATGATGTCACTTTAAGTAAGCCTTAGAAAAAAATCCCTGAAAAAAAAAGACATTTCAAAGATCAAGTAGTAGATCAGTAAACCCACCATGTAGTTTTGAGTGCTTGGAATAGACCCTCCTCCAATACCAGTGTAGAAGTAATGATCAGCTACCAGTAAAACACGACACACTTTCCTATTACCAAGGTTAGCATCTCTCCGATGACGAAAAGATGGCTGAAAACCTGTACATAAGAACATAAAGAGGTGTGATTCCTGATTAAATGATTTCATCATAAAAGTCAAATTTCCCTTTTTTGTTTAATTTGTGTAGTGTGAGGTTTGGCTAACAGTCTGCTATATAAAATATGCTTTACCTTGGAAATTTTTTATTTTGGAATGATTCATTTTCCCCAAACCATAGCTGCCTTGACATTCTCTGCGAAAAAAAAAGATCTTCATTAAGAAATGTCTTTCAAAATTTGGATAATTTTATGAGAGTAAGAACAGATCAAGACTTTTAAAATGAGCATATTTCAAGGAGTACATTTAATTTAGTACTTCACAAAAAAAATTTCAGTGTGAGAAGTCATACTTACACAATTTTTTTCCATTCATAAACACATATAAACTGAACATTTTTGGGAGATTTTTCCCCCCAAATTAGCTTGGAATGATTTGTTTCTATTAAGTAAAACCAGTAATTGTTGTATTTCACTCACTGAATGTAAAGAGGATAGTTTGTTACATGACTGAATACTAAAATTGATTTAAACTGTCCCTTCGGGCACAACGTGCTCACCTTAAAAAGGTTACTATTCTTAATGAACTGCCATACATACTGATGATTTCCCATACTTATTAATTCCCTTATTAATTCCCATACTTACTGATGTATTGCCATAATTAATGATGAATTCTCATTAGGGATGTCAATTTTACTTGTACAGCTTAGTCGAATAGTCGGAGGCTTTAGTCGAACGATAGTCGAGTACTCGTTGAAAATTTAATTAATTTTTCATGTCATTTTTCTTATTTGTCTTTAACTGACTGCTAGCCTGTACAATATTTAATCTAAGCTATCACCATTATACAACGAATTATTGAATTGTTAACATTTACGTAGTAATAAATATTTGTATCCAATGTATTTGATTTCAAATATAATATGTACTGCACATTTTATCTTAAGTTTATACAGAATATCAAATACTAGCATTTATCCTTTCTTTTCATGCTGCTAGTACATGTACCCGTTATTGATTTCTTACCTGAAGCCATTTGAACATGTCTTGCCAGGACCCGTGATTGTTAAACAATTAAAGCGGAACTCTTATAAAAACAAAAAGAGCTTGCGATAAATTTAAGTTATGAGATTTTTTTTTGCATACAATCAATTTGATACAATTTTGAAATGATTGATATTAATGTCAGAAAGAAACACCTTTAAACTACGCTCATAACTGTCCCCAAATTTACATGTATTTACGAATATGTAACAGCTGTTTAATTATTCTTCATTCATTGATAGTTGCATTGTACAAGATCTTACGGAATTGCAGGCTCAAACTTTACAATTTGGATCTCACATCTTTTAAAGTATGCCAATGCATGTTTGCCGAACAAAAAAATTCCTTTGAACAATTAATGAAGACCAGTAAAGCCTTTCCCTGAGTTTACTCACGAGAACACTGAACACTGATATGTTAATAAATGAAGTCAGATCCATTTTTTACCTTGAATTTAAGATTACTTTTAAGTAGCAAATTTTTAATGAATAACCGACTAAAAAAATTTCAGTTGATAGTTGGTATGATCGAACGATAGTCGAGTACTCGAATATTCGTTGACATCCCTAATTCTCATACCTATTGATGGATTCCCATAATTATTGATGAATTCCCATACTTATTGATGTCTACTTAATTGTCATACTTACTGATGAATTCCCTTACTAATCTATGGATTCCCATACTTATTGACATATTCCCATATTTACTGATGAATTAACTGCTATATTTACTGATGAATTCCTTTACTAATTCATGGATTCCCATACTTTTAAAATGTTAAGGATTGAGTTGGGTTGAAATTGGCTCTTGTCCTGGACATGCCAGGAAAAAAAAATACCTTCCTTTTATATGTTACTTACAATGTGTGATTATGGGAAAGATTTTTCACTTCTGACTTTCTGTAAACTATCATGTCTGTGGAATTCAAATATTTATGACTCAGACGCCATGCTGGCTACAAAAAGAAAAGATAATGGCACACATGTAAAACACAAATAAAGTACATGTACTTAAGTATCCCTGTTTGTAGTACAATCATACATTCTAAAGTAATATTAACTGTTTACTTTTTGTTTAAAAGAAAATGAAAAAGAAAAGGCAGAACTACTTTTGATAATTAATTCCTTTCGGTTTTGGAAAATTTTGACTCCCGGGCCAGCAGTGCACTCTGTACTTTCATTTACCGTAGACTGTGGATGCTGCTAAATATGTTTTCAGAGCTAATGTGGCAAGAAAACTTTGATGTGTTCATGATGCAGACAAAATATTTTGAAAAATGTGCCTTTTGTTGTATAGTTTGGTGGGCCTGTCTGAGAACTCAGTCTGTCCAAGAACAGGTTGTTTATAGCCAGTACACATTATGTAATTTCCAAGAAAAAGCAGTGATTTATTCTAGAAGACAACCTATGTACATACATGGACATGATGGTCCTTTTTTTCCTCCAATCAGGTAAACTCAACAATTTTACACTGTTATCAACAAATATTTGATTCTAAATCTCATTTCATCAATTCAAAGATGAATTTATCCTATGACTATATAAGAACAGCTAGGCACTATTAAATAACAAACATGGTTACTAATGAACAAAACAAATTTGTTAGCAAGTATTAACAAGTAGAAAATATTACGGCAAATCATGTTATCTCATAATCCCGCCTCGTGTCTGTAAATTAACGCTGCTAAAACAACAAAATTTAATAAATCAGCTTGTTTTTTTCCTCTTCAAACATATTTTACTTTATATGGATGTAGAAACAAAATAAACTGACTTCAATGATGAATTCTTCTTCTCCTGTCACAATGTGAGCTAATACACCATCTGGGTCTATTGACACTGTGCAGAGTGACTGTGGATCATCTACAAATAATTATATAAAATATCTAATTCCACTTCACAGAGTTCTCCTCGAATATTGTTAAAAAAAAGGTTATGTATAGAGTTATATAAGGTATTGTTAAGGCCCCCCTACATAGTTTTACCCTTTAATATGTTCTCATGCTTCAGCTTAATAACAAACCAAAAAACAAACAAAAAAGCAAACAAAAACCCTGCATTTAAAGAAGAGGTAAATGTAGCAGCACTATAATTCCCAGAACTGCATACATGTATTGATAATATTTTTAAAAGGAATAAATGATTCACTCAATAACTCTATCCTCTAAATTTTATTTAGCTTTGAATTTTGAAAAAAAAAAATAAATGTTTAATATATATACACTTGTAAAAAAAATTGTTTGCAGATGCTGATGTTGTTAATTTAATTGAAAAAGGAAAACATTTTAAAATTTATATAATTTCATTAATTAAACTCAAGACTTGCTGATTTTTCTGCAGACTGGTTGAAATTAAACCCCACCAGTTCAACTGGTTACATGAAAAGTTCGTCTCAATCCCTGGTAATAGTGCATATGTTGTAACATCCCCTGCCTGTGTATATATGAGATGTTATTGTATTGCAGGTCACCCCCTGCCTCAGCAAAAAGTGTGTTATATCAAGTCCCTTTCCCTTGTGTTATATTGCATATGTTGTAACACCTCCTGCCTGTGTACAATGTAGTACATGTATTGTAACATCTCCTGCTTTTGTACAATATGGTACATGTGTTGTATAGATCCTGCATGTGTACAGTGTAGTACATATGTTGTAACATCTCCTGCCTTTGTACAATGTGGTACATGTGTCACTGTTGTATAGCTCCTGCATGTGTACAATGTAGTACATGTGTTCTTGCAGTCCCTTTACCCTTTTTCAGTGTGTCTTTGTAGTAATGGGTGTATTACTAACCACATATTAACAAATCCCCCTTCTACTTCTCAGTGTGACTTTGTTATAGATAAAGGTGCGTTGTATTAGGTACTCCCCCCCCCCCCCCCCCCCCCGATTCTTACCTCTCAGTGTGACTTTCTTCTTACCTGTCAGACTACCTGTGTAGTAGTAGGTGTGTTATAACAGATCCCCTTCCTACATCTTAGTGTGACTTTCTCCTTACCTGTCAGACTACCTGTGTAGTAGTAGGTGTGTTATAACAGATCCCCCATCCTACCTCTCAGTGTGACTTTCTCCTTACCTGTCAGACTAAATGTGTAGTAGTGGGGTGTTATAACAGATCCCCCTTCCTACATCTCAGTGTGACTTTCTCCTTACCTGTCAGACTACCTGTGTAGTAGTAGGTGTGTTATAACAGATCCCCCTTCCTACCTCTCAGTGTGACTTTCTTCTTACCTGTCAGAATACCTGTGTAGTAGTAGGTGTGTTATAACAGATCCCCCATCCTACCTCTCAGTGTGACTTTCTTCTTACCTGTCAGACTACCTGTGTAGTACGATGTGTTTTATAACAGATCCCCCTTCCTACCTCTCAGTGTGACTTTCTCCTTACCTCTCAGACTACCTGTGTAGTAGTAGGTGTGTTATAACAGATCCCCCATCCTACCTCTCAGTGTGACTTTCTTCTTACCTGTCAGACTACCTGTGTAGTAGTGGGTGTGTTATAACAGATCCCGCTTCCTACCACTCAGTGTGACTTTCTTCTTAATTGTCAGACTACCTGTGTAGTAGTAGGTGTGTTATAACAGATCCCCCATCCTACCTCTCAGTGTGACTTTCTTCTTACCTGTCAGACTACCGTGTAGTAGTAGGTGTGTTATAACAGATCCCCCTTCCTACCTCTCAGTGTGACTTTCTCCTTACCTGTCAGACTACCTGTGTAGTAGCGGGTGTGTTATAACAGATCCCCCATCCTACCTCTCAGTGTGACTTTCTCCTTACCTGTCAGACTAAATGTGTAGTAGTGGGGTGTTATAACAGATCCCCCTTCCTACATCTCAGTGTGACTTTCTCCTTACCTGTCAGACTACCTGTGTAGTAGTAGGTGTGTTATAACAGATCCCCCTTCCTACCTCTCAGTGTGACTTTCTTCTTACCTGTCAGAATACCTGTGTAGTAGTGGGTATGTTGTAACAAGGTTTTCCTCTCAGATCCATCCCCATTAACAGTTATGACCTCTAGTGATGGCGTAACTACACTGGATTTAGTCAGCTTTATATCAAAATTTCTGAGGAAAAAGCAATTTCACTTATTAATCCATTCTCCATTTATATCTATAGATCCCTGGTTTAAATACTGTCAAAATAAGTTACATTATTTTCGTCAAGATACTGACTAGCTAGGGGTAATCATATTTCAGAAAACTTGAAATGGCTGAACTGATGAATCTCTAGTCATTATTCTCTGGGAGAGTCAAAGCAGATGTTTTCTACACTGTATAATGAATTTTGCTAACATTTATTTTTCAAGCAGGAGGAATAACCCATTTCTTTGTAACAATTTACCAAAAAAAAAAAAAAACCAGTGGGTATTGTTTTTTTTAACAAAAAAACACATGTCTCCCCTTCTTTACCAACATTAACGAGTGCAAATATATGATCAGGGTCAAAAATAATAATGCAGTGCATCTCAACTCAAATTCTGCGTACAAAATTTCAAGTCTTCATGTCAAACGGATCTCAAGTAATGGTCTGGTTGTGTTTTTCTTAACTTGACCTTGAAGAAAGTGGTCAAGGTCAAATATTTTGATGCAGTGCATTTAGTCTCGATGTTGTCTTTCCTTGTTCCAAGTTTGAAATCCTAATGTCAAAAAGTTCTCAAGTTATGACCTAGACTATATTTTCATGTTAATGATTGACCTTGACTTTATTAATAGGTAAAGGTGAAAAAAATGTTGCCATTCACCCTTCCTCTATACCACCTCTCCATGTTCCAAGTTTGAAGTCTTAATGTCAGGGTTCTCAAGTTATGGTCTAGTCATGTTTTCTATATTTGACCTTGAAGAAAGGGGTCAAGGTCAAAATTTTGAAGCGTTGCATCTTGTAACAATGTTTTCTTTCTATGTTACAAGTTTGAAGTCCTAATATCAAAGGATACTCAAGCTAAGGCCTGGAATCTATTTTGATGTAAAAGATTGACCTTGACATTATAATAATTGGATCAAGGTCAAAAATTTTGGTGGCATGCATCCCTCCTTCATACCACTTCTGCATGTTCCATGTCTGAAGTCTTTATAACAAAGGATTCTTAAGTAATGGTCTAATCAAGTTTTTTCCCTATTTGACCTTGAGGAAGAAAAGAGGTCAAGGTCAAAAATTTTGGTGTGTTGCATCTTGTATCAATGTCTTCTTTCTCTGTTACAAGTTTGAAGTCCTAATATCAAAGGGTACTCAAGCTATGGCTTGGACTCTATTCTGATGTAAAAGATTGACCTTGACCTTATAATAATTGAATCAAGGTCAAAAATTTTGGTGGCATGCATCCCTCCTTTATACCACCTCTGCATGTTCCAAGTTTGAAGTCTTAATGTCAAAAGGTTCTCAAGTTATGGTCAGATCATGTTTTTTCCCTATTTGACCTTGAAGGCAGAAAGGGGTCAAGGTCAAAATTCTAATGCAGTGCATTTTTTCTCAAGGTCTTCTTCCTATGTTACAAGTTTGAAGTCCTAATATCAAAGGGATCTTAAGTTATGGGCTGAACTCTATTTTGATGTAAAAGATTGACCTTGACCTTATAAATAGGTCAAGGTCAAAAATGTTGGTGGCGAGCACTCCTTCTCAATGTCATCTATCTATGTTCCAAGTTTGAAGTCCTAATGTCAAAGGGTATTAAAGTTACGGCCTGGACAAAATTTGGATGAAGAAGAAGAAGAAGAAGAAGAAAATCGACAAAAACAATATGTCTCCCCTGGAAGGGGAGACATAAAAAGGCAAAATTGATAAGGCCAATACAAAACTAACACTACAAATACAGTATGTTGGTAAGACTGGCCTGCTGCAGAAGCTGGCTTTGTAGGCAGTTCAAAATTTAAAAAAAGAAATTGCCAAAAAATAATGAACAATCAACAGGTGTATCCACTAGTGACTCATAACTTATATGAAATCAATTGTTATAACTCATTTATGATTTAAAAGCCATGTCAAGATTAAGACAGATAGGGATAGACACAAATGGATTAATTTAAAAGCTTAGTGTCATTATTACTGGTAGGATTACTTTAACAAGAGTAAAATGTAAAAAAAAAAAAAATGGACTTCAAAATAAAATTTTAAATATCAATATTTCAAACTTCTTTTTGATAATAAATTTACCATATGTTTCCAACTCCATAAATTACCAGATATACAGTATTTGGAGGAAAGTTTAGAAATGAAATATCACTACCATCATGAGCACAGGGTCCTCAAAAGGAACTAATGTTACCATAATTAAATGGTTTACTGCTTGTTAAGTTTTATCTGTTTGGAGAGTTGGCTATATTCTTAAAAGATATCACACCCTAGAACACTTTCTGAGAACCTTGCATGCATGGCTACCATTTTGTACCTACCTCTGAAAGGCTATAAACTTCATCCAATGATAGCTGTCTAAAATGGGTAATTTAATATCTTTTTGTCCTATTAACAAAATGTCTTGTAGTTTCAGTACTTCATACCCATGTAGCCTATTCAGTGATTCACCTGTAAGATTATTTAAAAAATAAATATCATGGTAAAAAAAAGTTCACGTGAAAATCAGTCAATAGTCGGTCATATGATCAAATCCTGTGAAACCAGAAGGGCTTCTCTGTGTATCAGGTCAAATACAAACCAAGTTCATTACCAAGTAAACTTTTTTGCATACTGAAATTTATCTTAGAAATGTCTAATGTACAATGTAGGACTGGTACAATCACTAGATTTAGCTATGTAGCTTGAATTACCTATATGGCCTTATCAACCAACCTGAAGTAGCTTTATTTAGCTACAAAATCAAACTTATTTCTTAAATTAGCATTTTTCTCTGGATGTGCATAAAATCCCGCACTATGATGCAGTGATCTGAAAACAATTAAACACGCTCACAGAACTCGATTTTCCCGCCTTATTTCTAGGGATGGGTATCGCCAAAAAATTTCCTATCATGATATATCACGATTTTTTCCCAAAATATCGCGTTAAAATCGGAATATTTTTACCAGGAATTTTTACTTCATTTTCAAATGAATTTCCATAATTTTTCTTACAAATACAGTCATTTTACCGGTAACGAGTATTTGCCAGTATTGAATATTTTTTATTTAAATATTCTTGACAAACATACTGACGGGTTTAAAAATTTCTTACTAGGTAAATACAATAAAACGATGGATATTCTATCCCTGTGTTGTGTCTTTGTAACATCTGCATGATTATTTTTCACACTATTTACAAATTGAAACAATGACTCAAATTTGAGCACGCGCAAGTGCAAGTCAGAGAAAAAGAAAATGTGTAAACTAATGCGTCTAAATCAAACTTTCCAGTGTGCGGTTGATCCAGATTGAGTATGTTATCAATATTTACTAGGATAATTGTAACAAGTTTAAATATTATAATGAACAATAATTGACTTTTAAATGAAATTATAAGATCCCAACAAATCATGTATTGTTTTCCTAGTTTCGAATCATGAATTTTCAAAGTTTGAAAAATGTCGTTTTACGGGATGCAAGAACATGAAAAGCCCACAGAAGTGAAAATACTATCAAAATAAATTACAAGCAAAGATATTCCATGAAAATTATGTCTATGAGATGGTTGATTTGATTTTAATAAAGCATATCACGAAAAGTTGATCTTAAAATGCAGAATTTTTCATACTGTTTAGTTTTAGGAAAAAAATCATTTAAATCAACAAGTTATGTTAATATACTTTATGTAGAATTTTCTTGAAGGCATATTTAAACAATAATTTCAACCCACCAATTTTATTTATTGGGTCAGCAATAGTAGAGGGCGCTTGATTTGATACTGAAAAATCAATTCGAAATTAGGAAAATGGGGGATGTTGTAATTTTCATCTCTGTGTCTGTACCATTCATATTTTGGGAATTTTGGTACCATTTATTTGAAAAGCATAGAAATACAATTTAAATAACAACCAAGAACATTTGGAACTTCGACCATGTAGGTTGCGTGCAAGACGTAAAAACAAACCAATTTGTTACTGGTAAAACGACTGTACACTGCAAAAATATAACTTTACTTTTTTCAAATTTATTTTATGTAATATAAAGCATGTTTGGATGCCGTAGTTTAACTTTTTTCAACATTTTTTTTTATACTTTCTGTAATTTCTATTTAATAGTTTGAACAAATAAACATGATAAATAAGTAAGTTCTGGAATTAATAATTATGTACCAAATATCGGTATTTTAGTCTCCGTATCACCAGTCTGGTTGAACCCTCAAACGGGGGTATACCCTGAAACGAGGGTTTTCCGTCCCGTCGTGCAATGCACAAGAACGGTAACTCTTGCCGTATCCAATATTAACAAACTTGCCTATATCATCTATCTTAGGAAAAAAGATCGATAATATTGTTATTTCTGCTATGAACTTGGTATAATATCAACAGAAAAAAATCAACAGGTCAAGTTTTCCACATTTTGAATTTATACTGTAAGAAAAACGAAAATTTCCCTTCATTTCATGAAATAATTTATTATTTTGTATGACATCTCAATTACGACTTTTTTGTAAATTATGGAATTTAAAACACAAGGAAAAATATTCTAAGAATGGGAAATATGAATTTAGAATCTAGATTTAAAAAAAAAATAAAATATAATCGTGCCCCCCCCCCCCCCCCCAAACAATCGTACTTATTTAAAAAACAAATTGCTTAACATTTTCTTATTAAATTCTTATAAGATATAAAAGACAATAAATACGCTAAATTGCACTTGGATTTTATTTTTAACTGTATTTTTGTTACACTTCCTGGGCATGATTATCGATAGTAAAGACCGTCGATTGCTCGTCAGAGGAAACGCGGACTGAAACTCACGATCATAAATAAATCAATATTAACACCACATTTTCTTGCATTTTATTACAAAAATAAAACATATAAGGTAAAATAATATATTTCTTTTATAATCTCGATTTAATATTAATGTCTTATGTCTGTTTATCGAATATTTTATCTTAATTACCTGGATGTCACGGAGCAAAAAATCGCCAACTTTGCCAGTGAATAAATTCCTATTTGTACAATAAAGTTGTATTTTTGTAAAATACAAACTCTTTAAACACCTTTAATCTATCATTTCCGAGTGATTTTACATTTGTAAAATGATCCGTTACTTTGCACCGGCGTTTTTTGTAAACCTCTCCTTTTTGCGTGAAATACGCACATTTTTAAGCATCTGCGCATGCTTGTACCCCCGTTTGGGGGTATGGTTTTCCTACTTCCGTTTACCCCCGTTTGGGGGTTCGACCAGACTGATCACGATACGTATCACGCAATAAAAAATCACGATATACCGGTACACCGATTAAAATCGCGCATCCCTACTTATTTCACATTAAAATTGCCAAAAATATTAAGTATTTTATTGTGAGTTTAAACACAGAGGATGAACGCTTATTCTTGATTTAAGAGATAAACGTTATGACCGAACATGCTCAATCATGTCGATGGTAAAAAAATTGAATTTTCAACAGTCGAAGCCACCGAGTTGAACCTAGACGTAGGATACTAAGCAAGAGAAAGATACAAACTTTTTTTCAGTCTGTAGGCTATAATTCTTTTGTAGAATTACCTTTTGTACGTAGGCCTACAATGGTCCATGAAATGAGGTGTAATGTAATTTTTATGAGAATGATAATCATCATACATTTTTCTTTGCTTCTGTTCAAAATGAAAGTAGGAAAATTTCCAAGATCGTATTCCGATCCCGATGTAAAGTAAAGGGGGTCATCCTTGAACTGTTGATCACGCCTCCACCGTCTAGAAGTCATGATTCTCAAAACTCTCTTTGGTATTGCATTGGCATTATCCATAACATTTATTCTGAAAACGATGTAAGTAAATGCAAAAATTAAATTAACCTAGTTTCCATAGATAATATATGACCTAAATTGCCAAATATTGTTCATGCGGTTTCGCATCCATGGAGTAACCAAGTCATCCTGCTAAAATTAGTTATAAAAAGATAGATTATAAAGTGTCAAATTGACAGAGTTCATAATATCACCATCTGGAAAATACAAAATAATCACACACCGAAAACGGATGCTCTGATATTTACAAAGAAATCAATTGATCTATATACAGAGAATTTTATATTTAAAAAATTGGTTTACACATGTAAAAATGCTCATGTTTGTGATAATTTAGATAAACTTATATTATTCTTGACTTTGTGTACTTGAAGAAAATAACATTAAAATACTCTCAGTTTTAAAACAATGATCATTTTCTTATGTATCATTGTAATAATTTAATACCATATGCAATATGTAAGCAGAAAAGTTGATATATATTTATAGTCAGTAGGGTTGCAGAAAAACTTTCCCACCAAAACTTATTCCTTTTTAGCTCACCTTAGCCGAAGGCTCAAGTGAGCTTTTCTGATCGAAATTTGTCCGTTGTCTGTCGTCATTGTCATCATAAACTTTTCAGTTTCATCTTCTTCTCAAGAACCACTGGGCTAATTTCAACCAACTTGCCACAAGTATCCTTGGGATAAGGGGATTCAAGTTTATTCCAATGAAGGGCCAGACCTTCTTCCAAGGGGAGATAAATATGAATTTGTGAAAAATTGATGGCATCATTTAAAAATCTTCTTCTCAAGAACCACTGTGCTTGAAAATATGAAACTTATATGTGGAATCAGTGTGAGGTAGTGTAGATTCAAATTTGTTCAAATCATGACCCCTGGGGATAGGAAGGGGCAACAATGGGTGATCAAAGTTTTACATAGGAATATATAGGGAAAATCTGTTAATTTTTTCTTAAGAACAGCAAAGCCATGATTGGTAGATTCAAGTCTGTTCAAATCATGACCCCTAGCTGGGGTAGGGTTGGGCTACTTGATCAAAGTTTTACGTAGGAATACATAGGAAAAAATATTTTGAAATTTTTTTTCATAAGAACAGCAAAGCCATGATTGGTCATATTTATATGAAAACATCCTCAGGTAGTGTAGAATCAAGTTTGTTCAAATCATAACTCCCAAGAGTAGGGTGGGGCCACAATGGGTGATCAAACTTTTACATAGGAGTACATAGGAAAAATCTTTTAAATTATTCTCAACAACAGCAAAGCCATGGTTGGTTATAATAATATAAAAGCATCCTCAGGTAAAGTAGATTCAAATTTGTTCAAATCATGACCCGTAGGAGAATAGAGGGGCCATAGCAGGGGATCATAGTTATACAAAGGAATATAAAGGCTATATATGTATTGATAAAATTATTTTTTCTTTTTAAAAACAGCCAAGCCATAATGTGTCATATTAATTCAAAAGCATCCTTAGGAAGTGTAGATTCAAGTTAGTTCAAATCATACAACATTTCAATACTGAACAGGGATAGACGTTAACTTTCAGATTCACTTGCCCTTCGGGCAAGTGATCTCAAATTTTGACTTGTCCGAATGCAAAACTTGGTTGCCCAAATAGGAAAATAATTTATTGCCGTACTAAATATTATGATAAGAAAAAGTGTGAACAGATACACTACTGTAAATCTGGCAAGCTGAGGTACCTGAAAAAATTTAGATGGTACGTTTGGACATAAATGTATACTACCACTTTCCTTGTCAATTTAATCTGTAAACACACACTGCAATGCATCAATAACCATCCATTTCCATTTTAATAAAAATCATTTTGGGTAGGATCGTTTTGTTTTGTGAATTTTGATTGATGCAACGCTAAGGAAGATAGTTGCTATGAAACATACATATCTTGATCAGGATAGGTCATGTTATATTCTGTCAGTGTGAATGAGTTATTTAAGTAGTTAACAAAGTTGTAATACGTAGAGCGTATTAACATGAAATAAAAAAGAATAACGGACCCGATTTTTAATGAACGATATAATGTAGAAATCCAAGGGAGCAATGTCAGTCACGTATCTGGCGGAAATCAAGTGTTCAATCTATTGTTTTATTTATAATTAATGTAAACTAGATACCAATATACATTTCTATCAGAAAAATTCACTTGCCCGATCGGACAATTAAGCTGACAGTTTCACTTGCCCGAACTGAGAATTTACTTGTCCCGGGCAATCGGACAACCTTTAATGTCGATCCCTACTGAACTGATTTCTGCTTTTTCCTAGCCAAAGTGCTAAGGTGAGTGATGTGGCCCCTGGACCTCTTGTTAAGTATTCTGATGCAGATATATGATATTTATAGCCAAAATAAAAATTTTCATTTTTTGCTCTGTAAATTTATATCCCATTTGGGATATTATATCCCAGAGGAATTATTATATCCCATTTGGGATATTATATCCCAGAGGAAATATTATATGCCATTTGGGATATTGTATCCCAGACGAATTATTATATCCCATTTGGGATATTATAATCCAGACAAATTATTATATCCCATTTGGGATATTATATCCCAGAGGAATTATTATATCCCATTTGGGATATTATAACCCAGACGAATTATTATATCCCAGTGGGTGATTGATCCCAACCTGTTTAATCTTGCTCGATTGATTTTAATTCAAATATTTCAGTATGTTAATGGACTACCACAAAACCCTGTGGAATCACAGACCTGGAAAATGTCACATTGTGGAAGGAATAGGTATTATATGGATCAGTATGCTAGACTTTAATAATCATATTTAAAAAATTCAGTTTCCTCTCACTGCACATTGAGAGTAGATTGTTTTTTATCATGTTAACATTTATGTTATGTGCATGTATATGTAGTCTGTCCATTATATTTATTATACTTCCATCTAGTAATCTGTAGTAAGAACTTTTATTTATTATACAAACTGAACAATGAGCTAATTAGTTACATGTAAATTGTACTATAAATGTGTTTTACATTGTATATGTATTTATATGTAATCATAATTGTTATATGTCATGCCCCTTAAGGCCCTAATTTGGAAATCTATTCTATTCTATTCAATATATTGTAAGTATTCTCAGTGTGCAACATCCGTTATATGTTTTCATTTAATATATATTTGGCACTGTCATGGGCATGATTTTTAAGCATCCTCTAACTTGTAGACCATGGTTCTGAGGATATGCAGACCACCAAGTCTGGTTTAACTTTCATCACTTCTGTAAGTTATCATTATTACTGAGGAATAAACCAGGGCCCATTTTCAGTTTCTTACAGTTAACACCCAGAATGTTTTCCCAGAGCAACCTGAAAAAAAATGTTCTGCATGCCTCAAAATATTGCCTTATCTTAATTTTTTCATACATATATGAGAGAGAGAAGGGGTGGGGGTTGAGAAATGTGACTTCATCTCTGTTTTTAGTGGTATTTATAATACTGCTTGTCTAACCTCTATTTTCAAATTTTCACCCCCCCCCCCCCTTCCTCCCTCGAAGCTTATATTATAGTTCAGTAATTGTCAATTGTATTGCTCTGCCTTTTGAAATTTTTGTTTAATCTTGTGCTTTGGTTTTAATTATTGTATTTGACTCCTAAATTGTTTAAGACTTCATACCATTATTCAGAGTGATCTTAAAATTAATCATTTTTAACATGATTAAGTTGAATTGATCATTTAAGTTAAAGATTTTCCTTTTTTTTTTTTTTTGAAGGGAATAAATGGAGTGCTCTTTGGACCAAAATTTGATGAACATTACAAAAAACACAATGTGAGAGGGAGAATCATGTTGTTTAACATGGAGAAACCAGAGGATGGAGTCAAAGAATTGATGATTATTGGAAACAAGTTCAGTTATGACGACTTCTATCCTCATGGAATCAGTGTGCTAGAGGACAAAGGTAGCTTAATTCTCAGAAGATCATTACATCGATATCAGTAACACATTCACAAATCGATTATTTTAGTTTGTGGATAATATTCCCAAAGAGGTGAAAGTTTTTTAATAGAAGTAAAGCACTGAGTATTTTTTTTTTTAAATTTCACATATTTCATCCCCCCCCCCCAAAAAAAAAAATTTGAATACAAACCAGACATCTTGAATATACTTTCATAGATATTTATTGTGTCTGTAAAATATTGCTGTTTTTCAAATAGGTAAAATCTTCCTCTTTGTTGTGGTGCATCGGAATGAACACGATACAGTGGAGAGGTTTGAATTCCTGGAGAAGACTTTAGAACTGAAGCACCTGAACACTTACACAGGGGATCTGGTTCACTTGTACTATTTACTTTCATTTTTAAAGTTGAATGATAGATTAACTGTTACATTAAAAAAATCAGTCAGTATTTATTAGCTCTTCTGGTGAGAGACCAGAAGAGCTTATGCAATAGTAAGGTGTCTGTCGTCCAGTCTGGTTGTCTGTCTGTTTATCTGAAAACAATTTTTCAAAATGCTACTTCTCCTACAGCTTTGGTCCAATTAATTTCAATATAACTTTGTGTACAAGTAGATTACACTAAGATACAAAATTCTATTAATTGTTTTATTTATTTTGATGATTGGCCATCGTTACTAAAAAAGAGATTTCTGTGAAATTCTTTTGAAACACTACTCCTGTTACAGTTTTAGTTCAATTCCAAAATAACTTGTTACACTAAGGCAAATAATTCTCTGTCGTTTTTTGATTTCAATGAATGGTGTTGTCATGGTTACTAAAAATAGAAATTTTTGTGAATTTTTTTCAAAATGCTACTCCTACTACAGTTTTTGTCCAACGCAGCAATCAAACTTGACTCATAAAGAGATTAAACCAAGGATCATTTTTTTATTTATTGCTGTTGTCATAGTTTCAGGTCTCAGTGCTACCTTTCTCTAATGTTGTTAATTAAGTAAAAACCAGTAGAGCTGCAGTCTTGCCAGAGACTTCTGATGTACAATTTATGACTACAGTTGAGGGCATTTATCCCTTTTTGTGGTTGACAGCCATGAATATGACATGAGATCATGTCAGCTAAATACAAAATGCATGTACTAGGTTGCTGTGTTTAGCAAAACAAGTGATGCTGAAGAAACTGTTTCACTTTCAGATTTATAAAGTAGACTGTAATAATACAAAATATGATTATCACACAAAATGTAGTAAACTGATTATTTCATTTTGTGTTATTGCAATTTGCATCTAAATTGCAAAATATAATGGAAATGTAATAATACATTTTGGGAAAAATACTAAGAAATGATTACTGGATGAGGGAAAATACAGCTTATATTATTTTACAAGCAATATTTTAAAAAAAACCCATTATGACTGGTAATAAAAAGCAGATTTTACATTTTGCATTAATTGATATGACTTAAGTTGAAACATTTTTAAAAGCTTTTAGATTTTTTTAGACTGAATGATGTAGCAGCAACTGGGCCAGACTCATTTTACACAACAGATTACGGATATTATCACAATCACTTAGGACATACCTCAGAAATTTTTCTAGGGCTTCACTTTGGGCATGTTTTGTACTACAATGGCCAGAATTTCACGATTGTTTCAGAACCAACACACATGGCTAATGGAATTGCTCTGTCCAGGGATGGAAAGTAAGACAGGATAAACTTGTGTTTATTAGTGAATTGAATAATCCCTGCTGTACTCTGTAAAGTATTGGCATTCATGTGTATCTTTTTATTACAGGCTTGTGTATGTTGTCTCCAGTACTGGTAAAAAATTTATGGTGTTTAAACGAGAGACAGATAACAGACTTACCAAAATAAATGTAAATAGTGTTCACAATTATTACCGTTTTCTAGTTCATTGAGTGTTACCATTATTGGTCAATTGATTAAACTGTGGAATGTAATTTTCATTCTCCCTTTTTTAACTTGAAGTTATGTTTGCCTTATCACATTTAAAAATCCAGTTCATTTCACATTAGATTTGCCAAAAACTATTTAACTGCCAAAGAGTTACATGCCTCTTGGTTAAATGATAATAATGTTAGTTTTAACTTAGTCATATTGAGAATGAGGGTGGGTGAAATAGCTCTTTAAAAAAGGGGGCAGAAAATCCCTATTATCCAAATGTCGGAAAATAAATATCAGGCAATGTTATATTATTTCTTAATATCAGGCAATGTTATATTACTTCTTGTGGTTAGCAGATAGTTTACTTTTATAACTGCAGAGAAGAATTCAGCATACATGTATATAAATGTATACATGTATTTCCTATACATTGATCCTTCTCTAGAAGATGCGGTAATGTGTTTTCCTCGAGTTGAACAGTATTTCTTTGATGTATTTAAATTTTTATGGACAGGTGATTGAACTTGATACATTACCCGACAATCCAATCGTGGATCCCAAAAAAGGAGATGTATTGCTGGGCTGTCATCCAATAGGATTTAAAGTTCTACAACATAATAATGACCCCAGTTACCCATCAGCTTCACAGGTACATACTGTAATAATGATCCCAGTAATCCATCAGCTTCACAGGTACATACTGTATTAATGACCCCAGTTACCCATCAGCTTCACAGGTACATCCTGTAATAACGATCCCAGTAATCCATCAGCTTCACAGGTACATGCTGTAATAATGACCCCATTAATCCATCAGCTTCACAGGTACATCCTGTAATAATGATCCCATTAATCCATCAGCTTCACAGGTACATCCTGTAATAATGATCCCATTAATCCATCAGCTTCACAGGTACATACTGTAATAATGATCCCAGTAATCCATCAGCTTCACAGGTACATACTGTAATAATGACCCAAGTAATCCCTCAGCTTCACAGGTACATACTGTAATAATGATCCCAGTAATCCCTCAGCTTCACAGGTACATACTGTAATAATGACCCCATTAATCCCTCAGCTTCACAGGTACATACTGTAATAACGATCCAATTAATCCATCAGCTTCACAGGTACATACTGTAATAATGACCCCAGTAATCCCTCAGCTTCACAGGTACATACTGTAATAATGATCCCAGTAATCCATCGGCTTCATAGGTACATACTGTAATAAGGATCCCAGTAATCCCTCGGCTTCACAGGTACATACTGTAATAAGGATCCCAGTAATCCCTCAGCTTCACAGGTACATACTGTAATAAGGATCCCAGTAATCCCTCGGCTTCACAGGTACATACTGTAATAAGGATCCCAGTAATCCCTCAGCTTCACAGGTACATACTGTAATAAGGATCCCAGTAATCCCTCAGCTTCACAGGTACATACTGTAATAAGGATCCCAGTATTCCCTCAGCTTCACAGGTACATACTGTAATAAGGATCCCAGTAATCCCTCAGCTTCACAGGTACATACTGTAATAAGGATCCCAGTAATCCCTCAGCTTCACAGCTACATACCGTAATAAGGATCCCAGTAATCCCTCAGCTTCACAGGTACATCCTGTAATAAGGATCCCAGTAATCCCTCGGCTTCACAGGTACATCCTGTAATAAGGATCCCAGTAATCCCTCGGCTTCACAGGTACATCCTGTAATAAGGATCCCAGTAATCCCTCGGCTTCACAGGTACATCCTGTAATAAGGATCCCAGTAATCCCTCGGCTTCACAGGTACATACCGTAATAAGGATCCCAGTAATCCCTCGGCTTCACAGGTACATACCGTAAAAATGATCCCAGTAATCCCTCAGCTTCACAGGTACGTACTGTAATAAGGATCCCAGTAATCCCTCAGCTTCACAGGTACGTACCGTAATAAGGATCCCAGTAATCCCTCAGCTTCACAGGTACGTACCGTAATAAGGATCCCAGTAATCCCTCAGCTTCACAGGTACATACTGTAATAAGGATCCCAGTAATCCCTCAGCTTCACAGGTACATACTGTAATAAGGATCCCAGTAATCCCTCAGCTTCACAGGTACATACTGTAATAAGGATCCAAGTAATCCCTCAGCTTCACAGGTACATACTGTAATAAGGATCCAAGTAATCCCTCAGCTTCACAGGTACATACTGTAATAAGGATCCAAGTAATCCCTCAGCTTCACAGGTACATACTGTAATAAGGATCCCAGTAATCCCTCAGCTTCACAGGTACATACTGTAATAAGGATCCCAGTAATCCCTCAGCTTCACAGGTACATACTGTAATAAGGATCCCAGTAATCCCTCAGCTTCACAGGTACATACTGTAATAACGATCCCAGTAATCCCTCAGCTTCACAGGTACATCCTGTAATAACGATCCCAGTAATCCCTCAGCTTCACAGGTACATCCTGTAATAACGATCCCAGTAATCCCTCAGCTTCACAGGTACATCCTGTAATAAGGATCCCAGTAATCCCTCAGCTTCACAAGTACATACCGTAATAAGGATCCCAGTAATCCCTCAGCTTCACAGGTACATACCGTAATAAGGATCCCAGTAATCCCTCAGCTTCACAGGTACATCCTGTAATAACAATCCCAGTAATCCCTCAGCTTCACAGGTACATCCTGTAATAACGATCCCAGTAATCCCTCAGCTTCACAGGTACATACCGTAATAATGATCCCAGTAATCCCTCAGCTTCACAGGTACATACCGTAATAATGATCCCAGTAATCCCTCAGCTTCACAGGTACATCCTGTAATAATGATCACAGTAATCCCTCAGCTTCACAGGTACATACTGTAATAACGATCCCAGTAATCCATCAGCTTCCCAGGTACATCCTGTAATAATGATCCCAGTAATCTATCAGCTTCACAAGTACATCGTTTGATAATGATCCCAGTAATCCCTCAGCTTCACAGGTACATCCTGTAATAATGATCCCAGTAATCCCTCAGCTTCACAGGTACATACTGTAATAATGATCCCAGTAATCCCTCAGCTTCACAGGTACATACTGTAATAATGACCCCAGTAATCCATCAGCTTCACAGGTACATACTGTAATAATGACCCCAGTTATCCATCAGCTTCACAGGTACATACTGTAATAACGATCCCAGTAATCCCTCAGCTTCACAGGTACATCCTGTAATAACGATCCCAGTAATCCCTCAGCTTCACAGGTACATCCTGTAATAACGACCCCAGTAATCCCTCAGCTTCACAGGTACATCCTGTTATAACGATCCCAGTAATCCCTCAGCTTCACAGGTACATACTGTAATAATGATCCCAGTAATCCCTCAGCTTCACAGGTACATACTGTAATAATGATCCCAGTAATCCCTCAGCTTCACAGGTACTTACTGTAATAATGATCCCAGTAATCCCTCAGCTTCACAGGTACATACTGTTACCATTATTAAGGAACCAGCCCTATCATAGGAACTGTAAATCATTTTTTTATTTTATTTCTGCATAATTATGGGACTGTCTGCTTGCAAAAATATCATCTTTTATATGCAACAATTACCAGAATTGGTAAAAATTTTATATCTCTGATAAATGCAAAATATCTCATGAAAATGAGGTGTGTAAAAATTTGGTGATCTACAGTACCCTGGTAAACTTTGGTTTTGCATGTAAAGTACAAATAATCAGGTCATTTCACTGTTTATCCAGTACATGTAATGTAGCTGTTAGGCCTCAGGCAAACGGTTTGATTCAAGGAGTTGACAAAATGCATTTTTCCCGAGAACGCAGTCAATGAATGTTTTGTTATACCTTTTATTTTTTGATGTACATGTACATGTATTTGTGCTGGCTTCCATGATGTTAATTTCCTTTACCTAAACTAAAACTCGGTGTATTCTGTCATTGTTGAACACCAATGAATGCAAATAAGATTTAGCTGATCCCGCCCACAGTGTGACGTAAGTGGTCCAATATCTCATCGACAGGTCCAATATCTCACTCTATGGTCAAACATTGATTTTTTTTATGACTGCTCAGTAAATCATTGGAATTGTTAAACTTGTTGTAGTATAAATTTATACAGGAACCAATTCTTAAAGGTCTAACAATCTGGTTTTTTGACTGATCAGACATTAGATAACTGTATACTGTTTTGGTACAGATGTTACAGGTGTAGTATTAATAGTATGGTTAATTTTCTACAGTTGTGAATTGTTTTCTGTAGGTACTGATGTTACACATGGATAAAACTGGAGCTAACATGACAGGTGTCACAGAGCTGTTCTCAGATGACCTTGAACTCTTTGGTTCCAGTGTAGCTACAATGTACAAAAATCGTATGTTGATAGGTACAGTGTGTCACAAAATGATGTACTGTGAGGTCAATACATTATAAGAATTCTGAACTTATAATTTTATTTCGAAAATGTGTATATCTTAGAATGTGTGAGTGCCATTTAGTTATGACCTAGCTTGGCTATGTCTGTTTGACACCATGTTTTCTGGGTAAATGTATTTTTTTTCCCCAGAACTTTTCCATGATTATTGCATAATGTTCAAACTTTGGGTGTTATTTCAGGTTCAAATTGAATCTTGCTGGGACCTCTTTTTTGTTGTATTCTTACATTGTTAAGCCAACATGTACATGTATGTGATAAATGTATTAAAGTGCATTACCGGTATATATTTAAATGTACATATATGTGCCTTATGAGGAATCTTAATTTTCCTCTATTTTGAAGTCAGATTTTTACAATATATTACATCTTGAATATTCAAAAATATACTGTATACAGGGAAATTTCACCCCTTTTTATTTTTGCCCTTTTCGCCCTATTCACAAATGGGCATATTTTAAACAGTGTGAATGGAAAGAAAACATTTTTTCTTTAAAAAGAAATTTGTATGGGTCAATTAAAAACGGGTCTAAATTGTTTGTTAGTGGGATAAGATGAAAATGACACTGGGCAAAAATAACCCTGTGTTCAGTAATTGTTACAATGTATTTGCAGTTTGAAATGATTATCATAATATTTTTAGTAGTTTTTTTGTATATTGCTGTATAACATCGAATCTTATACCCATATCTTCCGAATGTCTTAAATTGTTAAATTAACATCATTTATTTCAAGTAAGATTACCACAAAACAATGAAATTCACCAATTGTTCTGTCAGACAATCCAAAACAATTTTTACTTTTGTACTTTTTTTATTTTTAAAAGTTAAACCACATTAATCATTATACTGGGACTGAGTTAGGAACTTTAAGGGTTTATATATTGAGTTTGAAATAGTCTTCTTCAAGCCATGACATTTGCTCTCATTTTTGTGTGATTGTATGATTTTTATAATTTTCTTAAGAAAAATTTGATCTGTCTTGTTAAAAAAAAGAGAAATCTATGAAAGTATAATGTTTCAACTTTTTACAACTAGTCTAAAAACTATTCCAGATTAGTTTTTAGCTCACCTGAGCCGAAGGCTCATGTGAGCTTTACTGATTGAAATTTGTCTGTTGTCTGACGTCGTTGTTGTTGTTGTAAACTTTTCACATTTTCATTTTCTTCTCAAGAACTACTGGACCAATTTCAACCAAACTTGCCACAAAGTATCCTTAAGGTAAAGGGGATTCAAGTTTGTTCAAATGAAGGGCCATGCTTCTTCCAAGGGGAAATAATTATGAATTTGTGAAAAATAAATGGTATTTAAAAATCTTCTTCTCAAAAACCACTGTGCTTGAAAATATGAAACTTATGTGGAATCATTGTGAGGTAGTGTAGATTCAAGTTTGTTCAAATCATGAGCCCTGGGCGTTGAGTGGGGCCACAATGGGCGATCAAAGTTTTACATAAGGAATACATAGGAAAAATCTTTAAAAATTGTCTTCTTCAGAACAGCAAAGCCATGATTGGTCATATTTATATGCAAGCATCATCAGGTAGTGTAGATTGAGATTTGTTCAAATCTTGACCCCCGGGGGTAGGGTGGGGCCACAATAGGTGATCAATGTTTTACAAAGGAATACATAGGAAAAATCTTTAAAACTCTTCTTCTCAAGAACAGCAAAGCCATGATTGGCCATATTTATATGCAAGCATCCTCAGGTAGTTTAAATTCAAGTTTGTTCAAATCATGACCCACGGGTAGGGCCACAATGGGTGATCAAAGTTTTATATACAGTAGGAATATATGGGAGAAAAATCTTTAAAAATCTTCTTCTCAAGAACAGCAAAGCCACGATAAGTCATATTAAATGGAAGCACCCTCAGGTAGTGTAGATTCAAGTTTGTTCAAATCATGACCCCTGGGGGGTAGGGTGGGGCCACAATGGGGGATCAAAATTTTAAATTGGAATACATTGAAAAAATCAGCAACAGCCATTTTGTGTCATATTAATTCAAAAGCATCCTTAGGAAGTGTAGACTCAAGTAAGTTCAAATCACACACCCCCAACTACTTTTATATTTAAACTTTTCAAGAGTGAACTGATTTCTTCTTTTTCCTAGCAACAGTGCTCAGGTGAGCAATGTGTCCCCTGGGCCTCTTGTTTCTCTGTTTGAATAGGTTCTCTGAAAGGCTTAATTGGATATGAACTTATTTAAAGTAATAATTATTTACTAGTATACAAAGTAGGCATTATTCATTTATATTTAACATGTAATTATTGTATTTTTCCTTTGAACAGCATTTGTAATCAATTTGATTTCTTTGACAATTATATATTTATTGCCTTATTACGTTATACATTCCTAATCCTTAGAACATGTACATTATTAAATGCATCGGCAGAAAATTTAATAAAATTCATGACATGTAAGAATGCCAATTATTGTCCATTTTTATACCCATCCTGACTTTAAACAGCAAGCATGTTATTTGATGAAATTGAGGAAAACTACGGCTGAAAAATATAGAGGAATCTCATTATAATAGTGAAATACCACTATTATAGGGAATTTACATTTCCCCCAACCTGCCAAACGCTCAGAGCTAATACTATGGCCATTTGTGCAGTGTGCGGTGTGGGTCAACTTTTTGAAATATGGGCCTTATCTCAAGAACCCCTCGGCCAATTTTTGTCAAATTTGTCAGAAAGTTTCCTTGGCCCAAGGACTCTCATTTTGTATTAAAAAGAGGAATGTGACCAATAAACAATGGGAGATAATTAGGGAAATAAAAACAAAAGTACTTGTTGCTAAAGAATCTTCTTCTCAAGAACCACTAAGCAGATAATCACCAAACTTATACATAAGGATGAGGATATGTTGTAGGTTAAAAATTGTTCAAGGGATCACCCTGGGCCAAAGGGCATGGTCTCAAGGTCACTTCAAATTTGACTTAAAATTATGTTTAAAATTTTGATATTTTGCCCACTTTAAGGATTAGGATCATCAAATCTTGTCAGTTGATGCATCGTAACCTACGATTCTTAGGACTTTATGTCATTTTGACTCCAAAGTAGGTCACAGTGACTTACTTTATGAATTTTGCAGGTATTCATTTTCAATTTGATTTTAATGCATATCTTGTACACTTTGAAGTCTATGATCATCAAAACTTGTCAGTTTATGCATCATAGTGCGTTGAAGTGTGTCAATCAAAAAGTAGGTGACCTACTTCCTGAAGTTTTTGGCTAATCATTTTCAAAACATTTAAGGTCATTATTTCGGATACTGAGAACTTTAAAATCATCAAGCCTTGTAAGTTGATGCATCTTGGGTCCTTGAAACATATTTATTAAAAGGTAGGTCACAGGGACCTACTTTTTAGCTCACCTGAGCTGAAAGCTAAAGTGAGATTTTCTGATCACCTGACGTCCAGCGTCCGTCTGTCTGTCCATCCGTCTGTAAACTGTAAACTTTTTACATTTTTAACTTCTTCTCAAGAACCAAATTGGCACTAAGCATCCTTGAATGAAGAGTGAATTCTAAATTATTCAAATAAAGTCCTATTCCAAGGGGAGATAATCAAGAAAAGGCAAAATTAGGTTGGGGTTATTAAAAATCTTCTCTCAAGAACCACTGGTCCAGAAGAAATGAAACTCATGTGGAAACTTCCTTAGGTAGTGTAGATTCTAAATTCTTCAAATCATGGCTCCAGGGGGTAGGGTTGGGGCACAATAGAGGATCAAAGTTTTACACTACAATGCATTGGAAAAATTATTTAAAAATGTTCTCCTCAAGAACCTATGGTTCAGAAAAGATGAAACTTATGTGTATGCTCCCTGAGGTGTTGCCAACAATTGAGGGGCAATATGAAAACCATCTATCCTTCTGTGTTCAATAATTCAGAAGTGAAAAAAGAATTAAATAATAGTCGACAAGATCAGTATACATGTATGTACTGGTCTCAGCGAACAAAGCAGGTAACAACATTGTCTTTGTTTGTAAGGCTCATTATTTTAATTTTTCTTTTAGAAGAACTGGGATTTAATTCTACAAGTGGCATTCCAACTTATACCCATTGCTCCCTTTCTAAGGAGGAAATTCTTCAAAATCATATGTCAGTTTTGAATATTTTTAATATTCCCAACAACCAAAATGAATTTGAATTACCGTATTTGTATTGGATTCCGAAACTTCATAAAAATCCTTGTAAACAAAGATATATAGCGGGTTCCAGTAAATGATCTACCAAGCCTCTTTCTTTACTCCTCACTAAAATATTAACAGCAATGAAGGAGAAACTTCAGGAGTACTGTGCCACAATATATTCGAGAGGTGGTGTAAATCAGATGTGGATACTTAAAAATTGCAAGGAACTTAGGAAAATTTGAAATCACAAAATTTTACCAAATCAATAGCATAAAAACTTTCCAACTCTGTATACAAGCATTCCCCACGAAAAATTAAAGTCCAGGCTTTTGACATCAATGACAGCTGCTGTTTCAATAAAAAATGGAACTCGTAAATTTACTTATCTTGACATTGGTCATTTGCAAAATTATTTTGTTAAAAACATTTAATTGTACACACAAGTACTCTGAAGTTGATATTAAAAAGATGCTTGAGTTTCTGATTGACAATATCTATGTGGTTTTTGAAGACCAGGTCTTCTAACAATCTGTTTGGATTCCCATAGGTACCATTTGCGTCCCGTTGTTAGCAGACCTATTTTTGTATTCATATATGAAGCAAAATTTATTCAATATCTTATACATGAGAAAAAAATCTCTTGCTGTGGCCTTCAACTCGACATTTAGTCTGAAATATCTGACGTTTTCCTGGCCTTTTTACCATTTTCATATTTTACGTGCCAGGAAAACGTCAGAACCGGCGCCATTCCGAAACCTGAAAATTTCGCCGTCTCCAATCGGAGCTGATTTTCGATACCTGGGAACCGAATTAAATGTCGTTTTCACAATTTGTCAATAGCACAATGCTTCTAGTACTCACCTAGATATCGATGAAAAAAAAAACAACCACTCATCATTTCGATACAGGTCACAGGCGCGTAGCCAGAATGGAAATGATGTGTACGCGGGGAAAGGCAGGGGGTGGGGTGGGGGGTCTTGAGGCCCCCCAGTGTGTCAAGGGCTCTGGTCAGACACGTAATATAGTTTCTACCAGCCAGGAAAAAAATTACAACTTTAAAAACTTTGACAAGCAAGGAAGAAAAAAGTCAAAATTTGAAGTCCTATTTTTGTGTGTGTTTGTGGGGGGGGGGGGGGGGTCCAACTTTCACAAAACAAAGTTTAATAATACATTACCAAATTACCATGATTTAAAAATGCTACAAGAAACAGTGGGGTCCACCCTTTCAATGTACATTTTCAATAGTAAAAGGTAAGGTTTGAAAATATGCTGGGGTGGAGCCCCCCCCCCCCCCCCCCGATACTATGTGTCTGCTGATGAGGGCCTAGAATTAAGCTCCTGTGTTTTACCAAATATTTCATTCATTTTCTTGCAAAATAAAAATTGGGCCATAGAATAAAAGACATAGTAAATTAAAAGACGTAGTAATATTGATAATTGTTTTAACAAAGTTAAAACTTCCATGGAATCTTATTGTACATGTAGTTGAGGCTTAAAATATAACCTATATATTGGTATCATATATTTTTTTTAACGTTTAAAAACACGTATACTAAATTTTAATCATGAACAAAAAATATCGTATGGTAAATCATACTAGTAGATCATAGCATTCAACGATGCGGTTGAAATTTAATTTCTCAAAGATCTTTTTAAAAAAATATTAATGTATGATTGAACAATGACAAAATAATGAATGATTTTCTTGGATGGTACTGAGATAATTCTCTCTTTTTTCTTTTCTTTTTTTCTTTTTTTTTTTTGGAAAATGATGTGTACGTACTTGCGTATTTGCGTATAGGCAGCTACGCGCCTGCAGGACTTTTAAAGATTTTAAAATGCACGAAATGATAACAAATCTCGACAGTCAGATAAAATTGTATATTTTATAAACAAACCATAAAAAACGATGTTGATGAGTACTAAAAGCATTGTACTATTGATAAATTTTGAGTTTGACATTTCATTCGCTTTGCACGTATCTTAAATCAACCCGAGAATGCCGCCTCTGGTTGGAGGCGGCGAATTCCCAGTTTTTGTAATGGCGCCGGTTCTGACGTTTTCCAGGCACGTAAAATATCAAAATCGTGAAAAAAGCCTGGAAAAGGTCAGATATTTCGGACTACTCGACATTAAGATACATTGACGACGTATTATCAATTAACAATTATAGTTATTTCCATTCTTATATCGACACGATATATCCCAGTGAGCTTGAAATAAAAGATAACACTGATTCTGACACGCCTGTTTCATATTTGGATATTTTACCAGAAAAAGACGTTAATGGTAATCTAACAATCTAAGCTTTTTGATAAACTTGATGACTTTTAACTTTTCAATCGTCAACTTCCCTTACTTATGCAGCAATATACCCTTATTACCTGCATATGGTGTGTATATCTCTCAGTTGATTCGATACGCAAGAGTATGCTCTACGTATGAACAATTTCTAAAACGAGGTAAGCTATTGACAAGCAAGTTGATGAAACAATAATATCAACAGTCTCGGTTGAACTCATCATTTTGTAAGTTCTATGGTCGATACAATGACCTTGTCAACAAATACAATCTATCATTATGTCATATACTGACTGACGTTTTTCATCCTAATTGTTAGGCCATTATTTACCCACTAAACTGTCGACGGATTTTTCTGTTATTTCCCGATCATGACAAGGAGCACACGACGGGTGTGTTAGAGGTTCGTGTTTGCTCTGCTAAAATAATTGTATTGTTTAATGGACTTTTGAGCTTGAATACTGTTCGTTATCTCCATATATTTCACTATAAAGAATGGCACTTTATATGACCCACATAATATATTCTTGCACTCTTTTTAATGTTGCACAATCATACATGTATAACAAAACCAATCTTTGAATTGGATGCATTTGTTATAGCCATAATTTCTTCAAAAAGTGTTATCCTGGCCAATCCTTCTGTCTGCCACATTATCTTTTTTTAAACCTCCCCTCACATTTTAAACGGTAGCCAGTTTTAACTCTGAGGCCAACTGGGGATCGAAAAACGAATCTCCTTCATACTTCTCTACCTTTTAAGAAGTAGTCAATACATCTTTTGAAATATGATTGGTGGTGTCCTGTAGATGTGCAATAAGATTTCATAATTTTTATTTACATCACAGGAGAAAATTGGAGTAGAAAGGTTTTTCTATGAAAAAATATGGCTCCCAAAAATCTTCTTACAATATACACAGTATTTAGAAGAGCGCTCGCTTATGGCACGCCGATTGCTTCAAAATTATTTTCTGCACAACG